TACTCGCTATAACTAATACTAAACTAGAAGTAAGTATACGATACTCGCGAACTAGAGTTATTATTAAGAAGATAGTTTTCGGGGTTAGTATAATAGAAGTACTTAACGCGGAAGAGCGATAACTCTATAGAATCTTCTAAGAGATAGTTTACGTACTAATATAGACTAAGTTAGGCCTTCTTTTTATTCTTTAGATTAGAGGTATCGCGATTAGCGTACTACTAGATTATCTCTAGCTAACTTTAGAATAAGAATATACCGATAGATACGGGTATAGATATTACTTCGTAATAATCTTTATAGCCGATAATCTTAATATTAAGTAGCTTAAGGGCGAAGTAGCGCTCTTCGGAAATAATATAGACGTTAATATAGACGTTTAATCGTCTATATTTATCGTAGAAGGATCGGCTATAAATCCTACTACGATAGTAGTAGTATATATAGGCTATCTATCTAGGTGGATAGTAAGTTTTATTAAATTATATATTCTTATAACTTTCTTCTTACTTAGAGACGTAGTAGGCGTAGTTCTCGAAGCGTCTATCTACTAGTAGAAAGTTACGAATGGGCTTACTATCGAAATTAAGATTAAAAGATAGAGGGTAACTACTATAGCCGTTAGAGAAAAAAAGAGACTCTACGAATATAAACGCCCGCTAAGAGTAATAATCTATTTAAATACGTATATCGTTTCGGCTAACGTATAGATTATATTAATCTAAATTAGACCCTTCGTATATTTAAAGCGGTAACGACGAGAGTTTATTAGTAGTATTAGATATATTAGAATTTACGCCGCTTAGATCGACGTCTATATCGTTAGTAAATAGACTAATTTTTATAGACGATAATAGGCTTTACGTTAATATTTCTAGTACTAGCGACGGCGATTAGCGTTAAGAGTATAAATATATACTAGGCGAAAATTTATACGAAAAGCGAATAAGTCGAATCTCTAGCTCGTAACGATAGTAATAGGCGCGAATAGTATTATTTAAAAGTAAAAAAGAAGAAAGATTAGAAGAAGCGAGTTCTATTAATTAATAGATATTAGAGGGGAGGTAAGAGAACGGATAGATTTAAAAAAGATAATAAAAAAGAAAGTTAACGCGGCGAAAGAATACTAGAATATAAATTTTATTAGAAAAGTAGAGAGGGGTAGTAGTATAAAAAGATAGATTTTATTTATTAATAAGATAACGGCTTTAGAGAGCTTCTATTTTATTATCTTTCTAGTAATACGCCGGCGGCTAGTAGTAGAAAAGACGCGGCTTAGTCTAGTAGTCGTATAACGTAAGCGTAGTATAGTAAGATATAGATAATAATATACTAATAACTTTAGAGTCTATCTTTTAGGCGAATAGAGCGGGCTACGATTAATCGAAGTAGAGTAGAATATAAAATTAATAGTTTTAAATAGTAATAGAAACCGACTAGATATAATATCGTATTTAGATAATAGAAGAACTATTATTTTAATTATACGTAGATCGGCGTCGGCCGGCCTAAATCGCCAACGTATTAATTAATAAAACTTATACCGAAAAGCTATATATATAATAGAATAGAGAAGAAAATAGAATAGTAATAGACGCGTTCTCTACGCTAAAGCTAGAGATAAGAAGAGTTTTCTTATATCTAGATTTTATCGTCTTCTAATAAAAGAATTTTTTAGTATTATTCTTTTTAGATCTTATTATTTCTTCGGGAGGGCGGGTTGGGGCCGGCGGCAAAGCCGAGAGTAGAGATAGAATCTATTAATTAATAATATCTATACGTATTAATTTATAATCTTAAGCCCGTTTTAGTAAGCGTATACGCGTCTACGATAATATATAACTAAGAGAAATTTAGTACGCTCTTAATAGTAAGTAGTATTTAGAAATAGAAAAAATACGCATATCTAAAAAACGGTTAATTCGTATAGTCGACCCTAAGTTTAGCGGGGATTAGAAATCTAAATATCTATTCTATAGTATTAGAAATAGGAACTAATATAAATTAATTTAAATTTAGAGCGAGAGATAATCGCGGTTACGTAGACGATAAACTACGAAAATATCTTTCTAAAAAATAAAGCTAAGCGAGGCTAGATTATAGAATATAATAACTAATAAGGCGTATAACGGACTAGCGACGAGATAGTATATATATTATATAATTTTATAGAAGTAAGACTAATCGATATCTAGTTATTTTATTAATCTCGATTTTTTAGCTAGTTATTAAGCTTATAGGTATATTTCTAAAACTCTATTATCTTCGGCGTATTCCGGTATAACGGTTTATTTACCGAATAAGAAGTTTAAGAATATAAGAAGATCGCTAAGTATACTTTTTTAAGTTTTTCTAGAGAAGTAATTTCGGTTATAAAGTAGTATATAGAAAAGTAAAAGTAAGCGTAAATAGTACTATAAGTAGCCGATAATACTATCTAAGTAGTAGAGTCTAGTATAGCTCGTTACTATTCTCTTTTACTTTATCTATTACGGTAGAATAGGCCCGTAGACGAGCGACTTAATTTAGATTTTATAATATAGTTAACACCCTAAGCGATTCTAGGTAATAGTAGTAGATAAATAACTATATAGAGAAGTTATACGCGATAATCCCGCTAAATAAAAAGTTCTATAAATCCTTCTATATAAGAAGAGAAAGCTTAAAGTTATATAACTTATATAAACGCTCGAAATAGCCGTATAAAGAGTAGATTTCTTTTATTCTTATAGCTAATTATACCGCTATATTACCGTATTCCCCTTCGCTATAGAACCCCGTACTTTCTAAAAAAGGCGTACTACCGACTAGTAGCTTACGTAGTTTATCTCTCTACGTAGTAATTAGAAAAAAGTTATAAAGAAACCGTCTAACTTAGCTTAAACTATTAGAGTCTACCTAAAACCGACCGTTATTATAATTACTTAGTAGCCTATTCTTACTAGCTTGTTATAATCTATCTTTCTTTAGTAACGTTTACCGCTATTAATATATTCTAATAATACCTCTTTTAATATATATATATACGTTTAAGGGCCGTATAAGTAGCTTAATCTATAGCTAGCTATATCTTATCTCTTACGTCTTTAAGAATATTCGAAGTATTTAAGGGATAAAGGTACTTATAGATTCTAATTCTTTTAGCCTGCTAATTCTTAAATCTATCCCCTCTATTTCCTTAGACCTTCTATATCCTTTTCTTATGTCTACTATTCGGCAACTTCTCGCAAAGTGAAACATAGTCAAAAGTCCATTCTGAAAATGGGCCGGCTCCTTGGTATACGCAGATGGACTAGCTTATCTGCGCTTTTCTTTTAACGGAGGCTTCGCCTTTCATGTGGCGGCTTACCAGTTACCTCCAGGCAAAGAAGAAAAAAGCAAACAGCTCATGCACGTCTCCAGGGTCATAGGTGGCCTCGTAGAACTAGTGTGCCATCGCATGCGTTGCATCGGGATGTGCCGCCGACACAAGCGTAGTCACCTCTCGCTATTTGCCGAAATATGATCCCTTAGAGCGCTAGGAAGCTATATAAACCTCCATGGTCCTCCTTGAATTTGCCCAGCAGCTTCAGTCTCATCCATCAAAGCACAATCGCATCGATCAAGTATCAACCGGCCTTCACGATGCAATTCACCACCACGCTCATCGCCGCCCTCCTCGCAGGCGCCGCCGCCGCAGGTCCCCTAGCTTCCGCAGCCCCCGAGGGTGGAATCAGCGCTCCCGTCATCGAGAAACGGCAGCTCTGCGGTGGGCTGACTTGCCTCCCCCTCTCGGCCTCGCTGGACTGCATTCTCGCCGCCGTCGGGCAAAGCTCGCTTGCTGGTGTTAGGGAGTGTGTTGATGACGATTTATCCGTTGTATGTTGCGAAAGTCACTCTTAATCAACTGTTTTCGTGAGCTTATCTTTCGCTCTCCAGATCTGTACCTGCGCGGAATGTATTGCAGGACTGCCTGAGCTCCTTGCCAGCAATGGTGTTTGCACCTAGGTCGCAGAGGGAATTCGACTGGGATGATGGATGAATTCGGTTTTGACCACCTCTTTCCTTTCAACACGATCGTTAACTTCCCATCTGGCTGTAACTCGGCTTTCGAGAAATTGCGCTCTTTAGTATGGACCTCGAGGAATCTATACATCTACACTTTTAGTCTCTAGTGTGAATTGCAGCGTGAAATGAGTGGATTTTTGCGCCATTTGCCGCTACACGTGGTGTCGGAAGAGGGCAAGACGCTAGCTGCGTGCACCAAACCTGGCGGAAGCTTTTAAATGTGGAGAAATGGATGGGGACTCGAGGAGTGTAGGTAGCACCGTAAGCGGTATTTTTGTTTCAGTGACGGCATGCCTGTTCAGAAGACTTGGAAGGCTCTCTGCATGTGCTTTAGAGAAATCTCGGCTGCCCGACTGATTCCATGCTTCGTTCCAGAATGAGGCAGCATCTTCGTGGTTTGGGAAGGTAAAACTCACCTGATTCCTTTGGTTCACCTTGAGCCGGAAGCGTCGGTCTTTAAGTTGACCGAAGAACTGAAAAGCAATGATTAGCGACTCCATCACATGTGAAGGACGCGGCAACATGTTCCCGGGGAATATCTGGGTCGCGCATGTAGTGCGTTTCTACCAAATCGGGTCTGGATCCTTCGTCCCCAGAGTCAGTTCAGAGTCCACAACGGAACCATCCCACAGTGGAGCACTCGCTAAGAAAGCCGAAAGGCCGCATCGGCCATGCTTAGACCACCCTGCAGCAGTTCGCTAATCCACACCACCATCACGATCCGGAAAGGTGACTGCTCTCGTGGCCCGTGTGTTCGGATGGTCTGCCACGTCATCGAAGCACTCCACGAGGCTCATGCACAGCATGCGAGATGTCGTCAGTCGTGGTGAACTCAGCTTCACGCACCCCTTTTCTGCCATTATATCTTCTTCGGCCAGAGGCGAGTTCGCTGCAATAACACTTTCGTTTCTTTCGGTCTTTTGTTTGGCCCAACATCAAGCCTTCCCGCCCCAATGCTCATCAAGGACTTCGTAGCAGTGCTGCCCTCGACGGTGGAAGCAATTGCCAACACCAGAGCTCCGTCTGGCGCACTTCCTACACCTCTCGAGGAACCCGCCGCCGCTCCAATCATCACCAACACCAGCCGCTCCTCGGCCGCCGACCCAGCCGACTGGCTCAGCACCGTCGACGTCTCCGGACGCCTCAACGCGGCTGTCCGGCAACGCGTCGGCCAGACCGGATCATGGCTGCTCTCAACTGAGCAATTCGCGGCGTGGGACTCGGGCGCCAAGCCTGTCCTGTGGCTCTGCGGGCCCTCTGGAAGCGGTAAGACGGTGCTCTCGTCCGTGCTCGTGCACCATTTGAGTAGCCGATCTGCGCACCGGCGACCGTGCCTCTTCTTCTTCTTCGACTGCACCGGTGAGAGAAAGAAGAATGGTCTGGAGAGCATGCTCCGATCGTTCGTCGGGCAACTGCTGCTGCATGACCCGGTGCGGATGACTGTGGAGCTGCCTTCTCCTTCCGATTGGGAGCAGTTCCTCCAGGGTGCCGAGGACATGATCGCTGAGATGGGCCCGGTGGACATTGTCGTCGATGGCATCGACGAATGCGCGGAGCAGGGCGAGGTGTTGCTGTGGCTGCACAAGCTGATGCAGAAGAGTAGCCCATCATCCGAGGGCATGCGCTTGTGCGTCTCCAGCAAGCACGAAGAGCCGTCTGAGCCCTGCTTTAGGGACCGGGTGATGCACCACGCATCGTCTCGAATCACCCTCGACGCCGCCGCCACCGAAGAAGACATGAAAGCAGTGGCGTACTGGACGCTGGCCAACGACCCCCGCTTTGGACGTTGGCAGCATCGTGCATCCCCAGTCCCGCACGGCAGCTTGTTCGGAAGCCAGCAGCGCGACCTCTCCGACAAAGACTTCCGAAAGGAGGTCGTAGACACCATCGTCAAACGCGCACACGGACTGTACGACCCCTCACTCTTTGCCTCCTCCGCAAGCCGATCGCTTTATCCAGTGCTAACATCCATCAACACTTTCAGATTCCGCCTGATCCCTCTCCAGCTCAACGAACTCGCGGCTTGCGACACTACCCGGGCCTTCAAACGCACCCTGGCCACCCTCCCTGCCGACGACGCCGACATGCACGCCCGCATCCTCAGCCAGATCCCCACCTCGGCCCGGCGCCACGTCGTCCGCCTCCTGCGCTTCGCCCTCTTCTCGACCGACGCGCCGCCCCTGACGTGCGCCCAGGCGACGGATGCCCTCGCCGTGGCGCTGGACATGGAGCCCGCGTTCGACCCGCAGGACCGCTTGAAGGACGTCGAGGAAGTCATCGCGGGGCTCTGTCCCAGCTTGCTCGAGCTAAGAGGAGGTGGTGACGGGGAAGAGGAAGAGCGGACTGTCCACCTCGCACATGCTTCGGTCAGGGAGTACCTCCTGTCGGACCCGCCGCGCGTGGATGGGTACAGCGATGCGTTCTCCAAGGGTCCGGCGCTCGCGGACATGGCGAGGGTGTGCATGGCGTACCTTGCCGCCGTGGCCAGGCTGTGGAGCAGCGCGGGTGGAGTGGAAATCACGCGGGAGGCTGTGGAGAGGGTGTTCCCGCTCGCGGGGTATGCGGTGAAGTACTGGGCGGGCCTTTCTCGAGCAGAGGGCGTGGACGAGCTGGTCGTTGCGGACGTGCTGGCGTTCGTCACGGACGAGAAGACGCGCGCACTGGTGGCGTGGATGACCACCCCTGCCGACTCCAGCGAGCCCTCATCGCCCTTCCCGACTCCGCTATCATTCGCGGTCCACTTCGAGCAGCCTCTCGTTGTCTCCGAGCTGCTCAAAACGCAGCAGCAATCCGCCGAGGACTGCACCGCCGCCCTGGTCCGCATCTGCACTTCGTCCAACACCAACCCCGCCATCGCCGCAGCACTCCTCGACGCCGGGGCCGACCCAAACACATGCTCCGCCCTCCCTCTGACACTCATCTGCAACCGTCCCTCCTCCTCCACCAGCTCCCCAACCCTCGTCCACCTCCTGCTCTCGGCCGGCGCCGACCCATCCCTCGCGGGCCCCGCCCTCCCACAGCACCTCATCACCACCAACAACCTGGCGGTCCTCTCCACCCTCCTCTCCCACCCCGCATCCCGCGCCATTGACTGGACCCCCGCGCTGGCGACGGTGTACGAAGACGGGCTGCTGGACGCGGCCAAGCTCTTCCACCGCCACGGCATCCACGCCCGCGCCCCGCCGCACCGGCAGTACCTCCTGCAGCTGGCCGCCCGCGCCGGCCGCGCCCCGCTCGTCGCCCTGCTGCTCGACTGCCGCGGCGGCGCGCTGCTGCCTGCGGGCGCCACGGCGGCGGCGCTGGACGAGGCGTTTTGGAAGGCGGTGCATGAGACGACAGGGCGGGGCAACGACGGCCTCCCGTCGGCTGCGCATGTCGAGGTGCTAAGCACGCTTCTTTCATTGTCATCGTCGTCGTCGTTGCACGCGCGGTTCGTGGAGCTGCTTGCCGCGCAGGTCGGCGTCATGGGCGTGCGATGCCTCGAGGCGCTGCTGTCGTGCATCCCGCCGGGTACCGTTGGCGCGGGGTGGCCCGAACTAGGAGTTTCGCTGGTGCGTGCGGTGTGCGAGGGCGGCGCCGCCTTCCATGATGTGGAGAAGGTGCGGGCGCTGCTCGAGCACGGCGTGGGCGCGACGGATGGGGACTCGGAGGCGCTGAGGGCGGCGTGCCGGGCGGGGAACGCGCGGGTCGTGGCGCTGCTGGTTGAGCGGGGTGCTGATCCGCGGGCGGAAGGGCCGCCGGGGGAGGAGGCGCCGTGGGAGGGGTGGGTGAGTGCGTTTGATATCGCCGAGAGGGGCGGGATGGATGACATCTTGGATGTGCTTCTTTCGAGCGATCGGTCCTGGGAGGCGGAGAAGATGAGGAGGGTCAGTTTCCATGTGGTAAGTGACATGTTCCTACAGAGCTAAAACCTGAGAGGAGGCGACGCTGACAAGATGTGTACAGTCCCACTCGAGACTCAAGAACGAGTGGAGGCGTGGTGCGTTGGGCTTGGGTGGAGTGGAGCCAGAGGCGTGAGGAGAGGGAACTGAATGGGAATCTTTGTTGGGTTGGATATGAGGCGTCCTTGGGTACATGGTTGGGGGCTAACGCTAAAATGTGTACTTTATGCCAATGTTGATGATGGTTTCCTTGATGCGCTCTGCTTGCCTACCGTATGCGCCTCCCCCAAACAGCCGCCGTCTCAATCTCAAACCCAGTCTCTCTCACCTGCCTTAGCACACCCCCACTCAGTCCCTCCCACTCCTCCGGCCCAACCCTCCTCACCTGCGGATGCATCTCCCACATCACCTCGACCGTCTTCACCATTTGCTCGACCGTCAACATGCCCAACTCCTCCATCTCCTTGCTGTCTGCACACCTTCCCCACTTCGACTGGGCCCTCTTCTCGCCCAGACTTTCCAACTCAACTCCCTCGGCGTCCACAGCTTCCGTGAGAAGCTGAGGTAGCCGAGTGGGGATGGGCGGATCGATGCCGTTCGCCGCATCCTCGGGGGACGGGGCGCGCCCGATTGACTTGAAGAATTTGGCGTAGGGGGGATCATCTGGCTGCACGATGCCGTACGGCGGCGCGGCGTCGACGAGTTGGATCCAGCCCGAGCCGTCCGGCCGCAGCAACCGGAGGAGGCGGCGGGTAGCCGCGACGGCGGAAGACCAGGTCGGGTGGAAGGAGAGGCCTGGAGTTGCGGGAGAAGTTAGTGGGGAGAATGAACAAAAAAGGTCGTCGATTGCGGTCTGGTGAATGACGACGTACACGTGCGTTGGAGCACAAGGTCGAAGGTGCCCTCCCACTCGCTCGGCCACTCCTGCATGAAGTCCTGCTTTACCAGCCGCACGCCCTCGCCCGGCTTGATTGCTCCACTCGGCGTCTCGGCGGGGAACGGGGCTATGTCCGCGGATATGAGGTCCGCGCTTTCGGGGTGCTTCAGCTGCTTCCGCAGCTCTGTCAAAGAGAATCCGTCGGCGCCGGCATTGTCGAGGATGCGGAGATTGGGGCGGGCGAGCAAGTCTTGGGCGCCCGGGAAGACGAGGAGCTGGTTGGAGAAGGCGGCGGTGCAGATGTTGTGCTGTGCGTGCAGCCGCTTTTGCTCCGCGGCGTTGGTGCCGTAGAGGTCTTTGACATGATCTTTGGTTATGGGTGCAGCCGTGGGGTCATTGGTTGTGGACGACATCGCGGACAAAGTGCTTGAGATTGGAACTGTGAGCGGGGTGAGGCTAGATGATAAAGAGAGGCGGAGCTTTTATGGGGGAAAGTAAGCGCCAAGTAACCAAGTCTGTTAGTAGCGCGTTTCATTTTCTCTGTGGCGCGTAAGCTGGAAGCATAAATCTTTTGGTACCAAGAGCTGGCTGCACATGAAAGGCACGATTTGTGCAGCACCATTTTCGCCATCCTTGGTTCATTCACCTCCAGTTTGAAACCGTCGGCCAGGAAGATCCCGACGAGAAAGGCAGCGTGTCGAAGTGATAGCCCGTGCCGGGCTCCACATTGGACACTACGTACAGGATGGGAGGGGTAGTGCGTGAGCCGTTGGCCCGATTGAGCAGTCGAGGTTGATGAATGCGACACCGGATAATAGCACCGCCTCCAGTCTCGGTTACTCCCCACCAGTGATGTGCTGCTCCACATACCCCATGTTCAACGGTGCGGGGTAGGTGTGTTGGCGAGACATGGGTCTCTCCTCCATGATAAGAGCGAGGACTCGAGGAGTCGAAGCAAAGAAAGTTCTCAGATTCACGGAACCATCGCGTCACTTCAGACCACCACCATGGACGCCGACATAAACGCAGACGCCCGCGCCCACCTCAAAGAGCACGGCTGGGCCAGGGTCCCGTCCGTGCTGTCCCCCAGCGACGCCTCAGCCACCCTCGCGCGGCTCTGGAAAGCCAAAGAATCCGCCGAAGCGCGCGGCGACGACACGTTCCTCCCCTGGCTCGACCCCAACGCCAGCAACGTCCGCATCTTCTACCTGCTCGAGCTGGACGCCATCTTCCGCGACCTCATCTCACACCCCACGGCCGTCGACATGGTCAAGTCGGTGCTGGGCGACAACTTCCTCATCTCGAACTTCACGGCCAACATCGCGCGCCCGGGCTCGCAGAGCATGGCGCTGCACTCGGACATGAGCATCGTGTTCCCCGATCCGTGGAAGGAGGTCTGGGCCATCAACGCCATCTGGTGCCTGACGGACGTGTACGCTGAGAACGGAGCCACCCGCTACATCCCCGGCTCCAACCGGTGGTTGACGCGCGACGAGGTGCCCAAGAACGCGCCCGAGCTACTGAAGCCATTCGAGGCGAAGGCGGGCGATGTCATCTTCATGGACGGCCGGGTGTGGCACACGAGCGGGGCGAATGTGACCGAGGACCAGGACCGCGCGCTGTTGTTTGGCTACTACACGGCCCCGTTCATGAGACAGCAGGTCAACTGGACGGCGAGGCTGCCGAGAGAACTTCAGGAGGAGCTGGGCCCGGAGATGAAAGAGTGGCTGGGGTTGAATCCAGCGGCGAATGTTGGCGCCACGGGAGATCTGAGGGTTTTGTCGGAGCAGTATCCGGAGTATGCAGAGAAGATCTCTGTGTAGTGCATAAATATATTCTGTTGGAGGATTGGGAACTTGGTCTTTCGGGGGCCAAAAGAGCGGCAGCTGATGCGGTGATCAATTAGGCACAGTGCTGACGTTCCTGCAAGCCCCGCAGTGCGTGGGGGCCGCTGAAAACTCGTACTTACTCACAACAGTCGGTGCACTGGGCAACCCACTCCACACCTTATCTCTCCCCGCTTGATCGTCTTAGCTGATCGTCCGCAATGACGCTGCGGTTGGACGGCCAAACACTCGACATCGCCTATGAACCGTTAAAGAAGGGTGAAATTCGCCTCATCACGTTCGAGGGCATCACAAGCGCCTCTCCCGGGAATCGTCTCGGATACCACATTCGACACGTTAGCATCGACGATCCGCCCCCCTACTGCGCTCTTTCCTACCGATGGGGTAATGGAAAAGAATTGAAGTATCCAACCAAGTTCAAAGGCAACTGGCTCGACATCCGTGGTGGGCCACTGGAAGCAGTGCGGGCTTACTTGTCCAACCCAAGTGCAGAAGATGGCCATCTCCCGTTCTGGATTGATCAGTTCTGCATAGAGCAGTCCAGCAAGGATGAAATGACCCAGCAGGTGTCTATGATGCATGAAATCTACTCGAAAGCAACCAAGACAGTCATCTATCTGGGCACTCCTCGAGGCCCGGAGAGTGAAGGCCATTTCCGCTCTGCTTTCGACTACCTCAGAACACTTGATGGCGACGCCATGTCCCTTGATTCGTTGGAACAGACCGTTCAGTCTACGAAAAAGTTGCCCGTAGGAACCGTGGCCGCGCTGGCCGCCGTCCTCGCAGCGCCATGGTTCAGTCGCACTTGGGTCGTTCAGGAAGCAGTCCTGTCCAAGAACGCCGTAGTGCTCTGCGGTAACAACATCGAAGACATGGTGCAGCTGTGCGCTGCAATCTCGCACTTCGACAGCATGGCCTTTCTTCGCCAACTCTTCCGAGACTTCCACGTATTAGAACACCCGTGGCAGGCCCGGGTACAGAGAGTGCGGTTGTTCTACCGCTTGAAACTGAGCTATGCCGCATCTCAGCCACAGCCATCGGAATGCCTTCCTCGAGACGCGATGAAACGCTTGCTTGCCCGCTGCCGGCCTTTGGAGGCTACAGATCCAAGAGACAAGATCTTTGCGCTTGCAGGCATCTGCAGGGCCGACGACAGACCGGTTGTTGGCTATGAGCTGTCGGAAGCGCACGTTTATCGAGACACGGCGGTGAGAATATTGCAAGAAGGGCACCAACACCACCGCAATACACCAATGGGGACAGAAGAGCCGGTCAGTTGCTTGTGGAACGACCTCTGCCTGCTCGCGCTCGTCAATGCAGACCATGTGATGATCACATCACCCTCTTGGATCCCTGACTGGTCGCTGCCACTGACATACAACGACCTCTGGTTCGAGCACGAGGAGTCTCTCAGCTTCCACGCGTCTGGGAACAAGAGCCCTGGTGTCCAGTTCCCCGATCATTCTCCTCGCACGCTGGTCATATCGGGGAAGCTCTGCTCAGCAGTTTCGTCGACCGGTGAGGACAGCATCCAGACGAGGGTCTTCCACGAGACTGACATGGACGAGTGTGGCTTCTCCGACGAGTGGTGGCCGGTATCGAGAGGGAGAATTGAGGGGACCGTAGAACAAGGAAAACGCCTCCCCGAATGGATTGTGCGCGCTGCAGAGTACCTTCGTGCCCACACTCACCCGAGCGTCGACCATCAGCAGCGTGAAGAACGTATTGCTACGACGCTTTGTGCGGGCGCAAGCATTGAGACTGCCTCGGGCCGCGGTGGACACGTGGCTTCAGCCAACAAGAGAGGCCAGCTTGCCCAGCTCTGGAAGTCGTATCAAAAGTTTGCTGCTCGTCGCCTCGGAGTGGAGATAGAGAAAGATGAGACCGATGCCGGGAGTCGGGATGAGAATGAACGGGCATGTGTGTGCTTCCTGGGCATGGTCGGTATAGCATGTCGCGGACGAAGGCTGTTTGTGACAATGGATGGCCACATTGGTCTTGGACCTGGCCGGATGACAGAGGGCGACGTGATTGGTGTTCTGTATGGGTCACATTGGCCATTCGTTCTAAGACCCTGTGGCGATGGTTTCCTTTTGGTGGGGTATTGTTACGTTGATGGAATGATGCATGGGGAAATTGTTGAGCGCGGCGATATTCCTGAAAAGCAGGTCAGGCTAGTATAAGCGGACAAGTGCTACTTAGCCGCCGCTAAGAAAACTTTGGTCCTACTCCGTCCACCCAAGGTCAAGTCCCAAACAGTCTAGGCCACTCTCCGAATGAGAAGCAGCCACATTACTATGAACTCGAACTGTTGTCATTCGGAGAGTGATGATGGCGACATAGAGCCAGTCTGTGATGACGGGCGGTGCACCAATAGAAAGGGTCTTCCGCAGCGTTGGTGATGATTAACGGGCAGAAGTGAGAATGTTGGAGCGGATCAGGGTACAGCCTAGCGAACCATAGTAGCAAGTTGGATATCCATGCGTCCGCACTCCGCCACTATTTTAATTTTACTCTCCCTCATTGCCTCAAGCACCATCGCCTCTGTTTTACCCGCACAGTAAGAGCCGAGATCGGCTTCCCATCTCAACGTCAATACCTACATCATGAATCGAACTCTTTCTTCTACAAGTCTTGCAAGAGACAGGTATTCTGGGTCTAACATCTACGCCTTCTTTGATTCCAGGTGCTCGTAAGCCTCCTTCTAGAATTCTCTTTGTTCAGCAATACTAATCGCGTCCAAGACTCAAGGAAGTCATCCAAGTAGTTGTTAGCCACGAAAAGAAACCGTTTTCTGTCCACAAAGAGCTCATTTTCGCCTATTCGGACTTCTTCAAATACGCCTGCAGAGAGCCTTGGAAAGAGTCGGGCGGTGTGGTCGAGCTCCATGACACAGAATCTGGCCTTTTCGACATATACCTACGATGGCTCTATTGGCCCAATTCCTTGGATCGTATTGAAAATCCTGGTTGCACCACCACTCTGGACGGAGCCAGACGCGTAGACGTCTACAAGCCGCTGTTCGATCTATACGCGCTTGGACACATGCTCCAAGACTACCATTTCAGAAACAACGTCTTGAATAAAATCGTCATGGTCGCACGGACCACCGGTCAATATCCAAACCGCTTCGCGGCTTTCGTACATGACATGCTCCCTCCCGCATCGCCGCTTTGGCGACTGTACGTCGATTTCTGGACTGGTCAATCAGATGCGCGGTGGCTGAAAACCACAAATCCGGCTGACGACTGCAACTCCCTGGCTACACCAATGGAATTCTTCCGTGACATACTCCGGAGACAGAAGCTTGGCGGCAGCGAAAAGCACCCGTGGGAGGAGGACATCTGCCAGTACCATGACCACCCCAGAGGTACTCTCAGATGTGCCGATATAGGCAAACGTGCAGCTATGGACGTGGAAGTGGAAGGGGATGAACACTATTCTGCTGACACAGAAACCACCATTGGCGCTCCAAGAGACCTGACGAGTGGGCTGGATGATGTAGAGTAAATAGGTCATCTTCAAACACAAACGCTTGTACTAGGAGGCGGGGTGCGGGGTCCTCTTCCGCTTGGCAATCGAAATAGATATTTCATTATAAAACCTCAAGGGTATCAAGGAGTGTCTAAAGGATGAATCTCTCTCAATCTTTGCCCAAAACGATACATCAACACCGGCAGAGGGACCATGGCCAAGCTCACAAACCCCAGCAAAGAGTTCCCCCAGTTCAGCCCGAGATTCGCATACAAGCTCGGTCCAGCCAGCGGTACGAAAGCCCCAAAGAGACATCTGACAGAGGACACACATGCCATGGCTGACGCGGCATACGCGCCAGATGCATCGACCATGTACGCCTGAAAGCTTGCGTTCATGCCGAATTGGGCGAAGCCAAAGGGCGCAAGGCTCAGGATGGGGACAATCCAGTGATTGCCTTCATACGTTGACCACCCGTACCAGAAGAAACTGATGGGGATGAACAAGGCAGGGAGAAACGACGTCACGAGCCGCATCTCGGGTGTGTAAGTATTCGAGTTCTTCTTTGTAAGTCGGACGGTGATGAGGTCGGACGTGGTTGCAAAGAAAACGAAACCGATGGCGCTGCCACCTCCAAGCCCGAGATAGGCAAGTCCGGCAGCCTCGAGAGACCAGCCGTAGACTTCTTGAAAGAATTCAGATGTCGTGGTGAGAAGGATGTACAGGAGGCCGGAGATGAAGCCGACTGGGAGGCAAGTGATGGGAAGAAGCGGCGACCGCAAAAGCATCTGCCAAGGGCGGACGAGGCCCTGAGAGAGTTGGGCTTTCGCAGTCTTGGGCGCCTTCCTCCCCTTGCCGGCCTCGTAAGCGCTTTGCAGGCCTGGTGAGCGAAGGCTTTTCTGCAGTCCCAGCGTCTTGCGCCGGATGATGACCTCGGCATGTGTTTCTCGGGCGAAGACGGCCATGGTCAAAGAGACTGCGGCGCAGGCAATGGCCATGACCCAGAAGTTCCATCTCCACCCCGCCCGCTGCGTGATGATTCCGCCGAAGATGGGACCAAAGACCGGACCGAACAGTGATCCGAGAGTCAGGAGGGCTGTTGCGAGGCCGCGGTCGTGTATGTCAAACAGATCGGCCGTCAGCCCGCCACCGATGGAGAGACATGCAGAGGCTCCGAGCCCAGACAGCGCTCTGAAAGCCAGAAGCCGTCCAATCCCCGGCGCGAGGGCGACACCGATGTGGGTGGCGGTGAAGAATGCATTTGCGGGGTGGATGATTGCGAGACGGCCGTAGACTTCGCTGAGAGGAGACAAGATAAGAGGGCCAACCTGATGGATTGTCAATTCCCAAGGTGGAGATTCCTGCCTCATGTCTATGCACGCACCATGAACCCAAGCACATAGATTGTGGTCACCAGAGAGGACAATATATCCGAATCATTGTGGAGCTCGGTGTCGATGTGGGGAGCGGCAGGCGCAACAATCGAGGACGCCAAAAAGCTGCGAGACAGGAGGTCAGTAGACGCCTCAAGCCTCAAGGAGGAGCTACATGCCTTAGAACAATCATGCAACTGACAAGGCTCATAAAAATCCATTTAGCCGCTGGTGAGAAGTTTCTGGTCGGCGTTAGATGGGGAGTCGAAGAATCCAGAAGAAGCAGATCACCTGGGATGCCGCGGGTCTGACTGCCCCTCCCATCCGACAATGCCATGGCTGAGGTCTGTCTCTGGGAGAAGCAGATGTGCAGTGCTGGGCACATCTGATGGTCCTTTCTCCTGGATCTTGTCGTCGCCCATGTTGGCTCGGTGAGGCAGAGCTTGTGACGGTCCAAGCTGTGGAATCAACCATGCTGTCTATGCTAGTTTATACACTGTGAGAATCAAGGGAGGAGTGGGAGAGAATACTCATGCTAGTACCGACCGGCCGATCGGCCGATCGGCCGAGCGCCGCATTTGGTAAAAGTCGACGACGTTGGAGAATCTGAACACGGACTGCCAAACGCTTATATCCGGACGTCCATCGCCTTGCGGGTATAGACGCTTCATCATCAGGTCGCCAGCGCACCGATATCGCTTCATCAGTGGTAGAACGAAGCCTGTCCCTTTGTTGATGTCATAGCTCGGACGTCGTTGTTTAGTCAGCGGCGCCAAGTAATTCGACGCACCCTTCTCTCACACGTGCTGGTAACATCATGTCCGACGGCTATGGATCTTCCCAGATGGACGACTACTTGGGCTCCGCTCGCCAAAGACGGCCTACCTGCGAGCCCTGCCGACAACGTAAAGTCCGCTGTAACAGAAAGATACCTTGCGCCCACTGTGCCCGCCTGCATCTCCATTGCACCTATGGCAAAACGTCACGACGCGCACCCTTGAGCGCGCTTCCAGAACACTCACCAGTCTCGATTCCGGATACGACCTCCGCTGGGCCTGGCTACGACAACAACTCAGAGGTGCTCAGTCGACTCAACACCGTTGAGACGCTCCTCAACAACCTGATAACCTCACTTGGAGCGAGTAAACTTCCGAATCTTCCCGCCGCAACCAATCAAGTCGCCCATACCCCCAGTCCATCGCCGCCTGATGCTGCATCGCGAGGGATCCTGGTCGGCGCTGCCGAGGGCGGCAGTTATGTAGATGATTCCGTGTTTGTCGACTTACTCCTTGATGTTCGTGTCGCAGAACCCTCTCTGTCACACCCAAATGCTAATGCTCTATCAGGACCACACACGGCGGAAGACGTCCGGAAGTACTTCAAGGGAGTCTGCACATGCCATGCTCCCACAATCACACTCGTCACAGCCCGTGGGTGTGATGGCAACTGACGTCTTCGGTCCACGTACCGAAACTGTGCATGTGGCGCCCCATATCTATCCTACACTCTGGGCCATCTACGTTCGAAACGTTGATCTGGTGATGAAGCTCTTGCACATCCCGACAGCTCAACCTCTCCTTCTGGATGCTGCCAAGAACACTCGGTCAACAGGGGACACGACCGTGGCCTTGCTATACGCTGTATCTTTTGCTGCCACGGCTTCCGTGACAGAAGAGGAGACCATGACCCAGTTCGGTCTCAGTCGTTTGTCCCTGCTTCGCCAACTCATGTACCAGATGGATCAGTCATTGATGAAGGCCAAATTCCTGATATATCCTAATCTACAGACTCTCCAATCAATTGTCATATATCTGGTAGCCGCCACCGCCTGTGCTGACAAAAACTTCGAGCTGACGTACACAGACGGCTTTGCGTACCCACGACACCGGACGACCGGTTTGGGTTCTTGTAGGCATGGCAATCCGTTTGGCCGAATCCCTCGGTCTTCATCGTGACGGATCTCGCCTTGGTCTAAGCCCTTTCGAGACGGAGATGAGATGCCGACTGTGGTGGCAGTTGTCCGCCTTGGATTCCAGCGCGCCAGAAGACTACGGACTGGATTCCACCATTTTTGACCGCAGACAACCCCACCGACTACCTCTGAACGTCGATGACGCCGACCTTTCTCCTGAGATGACGTCTCTCCCCGCTTCCAAAGAATCATGGACTGAAATGACATTTACCATAACCAACTTTGACATCTGCCGAACATTGAGAGAGGCCACTGCTGCAGTTTGGTTGAAGGACGGTCAGGCCAAGGGAAAGGCGATCCAGGACGCGGAGCACTCCATCTCCAGCCGATGGCTGCGCTTCTCCGAACGTGACAAGCCAGTCTGCCAAGCGGCCGAAGCCATGCTGCATCTCTCGATCCTGAAATCACGATTCAACCTCGCCCTGCAGTCGTGGCTCCCCTCCCGCGAAGCCAAGTCGTCGGCCACGTCTCGATACCAGCAGCTACCGCAAGCCATCTTCGCCACGGCCGTGGATGTCCTCGAAGGCGGATATATGCTGCAGTCCGGGACACTCTTTCCAGAGTTTGCCTGGTTCTTTCGGCGTCACCCGGAGCTCTACGCGTTGTTCCTGGTGCTGCACTGTTTGAGGGACGACCCGGAAAGGCCGGAGGCAGACCGTGCCTGGAAGTCTGTTGGCGAATACTGTTCCTGCTTGAAGGACTTCGAAGAGACGCTTGGAAGGAAGGGCCGCGCGAGTTGCGTGTGGGAGATCCTGCGGTCACTGCGAGAAAATGCCAGAGAGGCGTGCCACCAAGCAACGCGAAGACCACTTGCGTCAACTCTTGCTGGGCCATCTCAGGAAAGTACAGCCGTGTCCATGGGAAACGGGGGATCAGAGGTCATCCAAATGCCTCCGGTATGGCCCGAGATGCATGAATTCCTGCAACAAGGGAGTCCCGCCGCATTGGACGCGTCGACGTTGGACAACTTCATTGCTTGGCACGACTTCTCCGACTGGCTCAACCTGGACTCCGATGCATCTGAATCGGGTATGGGTAGATAGAGCGCTCGGTAAGAAAACACAGCCTTGGCATGTCAACCTTGTAGATGCCCTTATCCCAAGCGTTCAATGTCATCGATATGGATGTAAGCAGAGGAAGAATATTGCAACGACGCGCAGATTATTAAAAATATCAAAAACAGAAATCCGTAGTAATACATCTCACACTAATAAAACCAACCCTGAACCGGCTCCAGCTCACGCCCCGGCAGAGTGCCTGGGCGTAAAGCTCAACATCAACGGCGGCAACGTCAAGGTAAACGTATCCAACTGCCCCCTCTCAAACACCTCGCCCGTCTCGCCCTCCGCATACCCGACGTCGAAATTCAGAGCCACCCGCGCCAGGAACATGCGCAGCTCCATCTTGGCCAGCTGCTTCCCCGCGCAGTTCATGGCGCCCCGCGAAAACGCAATGAAAGCGGCCGTCTCGGGATTCAGCGGCGGCCCTTCCTCGCTCCACCTCTCCGGCCGGAACTCCGCGGCGCGCTCGAAGTTGCGTTCGTCGCGCTGCAGCGCCTGCGTCGGCACGCTCACGATGGTGTCGCCGGGGATGTGGACGCCGTCGACGACCAGGCCTTCGGGGGGCGTCACGCGCGCCAGGCCGCTGGGGACGGGCGGCCGCAGCCGCAGCGTCTCGTGGATGATGTCGTCGAGGTATGGCACGGATTTCGCGATGGCGCTGCTGGACAGCGATCCGTCGTCGCCGCGGGGGAAGGCGGCGTCGAGCTGGGATTGGAGCTTGGCGAGGACGCGGGGGTGGCGGACGAAGAAGTTGAGGGTGTTGGCGAGGGCGGCGGCGGTGGTGTCGCTGCGGTACTGTGGTTAGCACGTAGTGCTGATGGGGGACTCGGAGTGGATATATGGACGTACCTCCCGGCGATGATGAGCAGGCGTGCGTCCTCGTGCAGCGCCATCTCGCCCGGCGGCGCCGACTTGTCGTGCTCGAACCGGGCTTTGATCAGCCACGAGAGGATGTCCTGCGGGTCGGCGTCGCTGTGCACTTCCTTCTCCTTCTCCCGCACCTGCTGCGAGCAGTACGTCATGAAAGCCGTCAGGCTGCTCGCCGCTCCCGGCACCGCCGCCGCCATGCGCAGCAGCCACGGCACCGGCGTCAGCAGCCCGATGGCCGCCATCGAGTCGTGGATGCCCTTGATGGTCGGGTGCTCCTTGCCGGCCTCGAGCGTCTTGAAGTCCCGGCCCAGCCCGACCTCGCCCATGACGTCAAAAGAGAAGAACATGGACCACGCCGTGCCGTTGACGGGGGCTTTGGCCTCGCTGAGTCGCCGCAGCTGCTGGATCAGCGTGTCCATTTTAGCTTTGACCCGGGGTTCGTAGTTGGACAGGGCTGGTGGGGACCATGGTCAGTACAAGGGAGTGAGAGGGCGCGGGAAATGGCAGACCTTTAATGCTGAAGCCGCGGTCCCAGGCACGTCGGCGCTGACGTTGGACTTCGAGGACGCGTGTCGAGTTGATGGAGCATTTGGTCACGTCCTCCGTCACCTGAGAATACCACGGGGACTTCTTGCAGCGAGATGGAGGACCTGTCAGCTCGTCAGCGGAGAATCCATGCAAGTCTGCGTGATTGACGCACCGTAGATGAGGCGTATAGCGGCAGGACGGTTGATGGAGATTTCGCGGGGTCCTGGGACACAATGAGCAGCGTCTTCAGCATCCATGGCCGGGAGAACATACCAATACGCACAAAGTCCCCGTACTGCTTGTGCAACTTCTCCACCTCATCGCTGTACTGGGTGTTCTTGCATGCCAGGAACATTGCATAGAACCGAGATGCCGCAGCATACTTGGGGCCGGGGAACTTCCTCAGGCTGTGGAACAGCAATCGGTAGGCGAGGATGCTGGCAGCGAGGCCAAGCTTGAACGAGTTCGCCACGCAGGCGGTGCGGAAGGCCGCCTCCAGGGCGTGCATGTGACCAAGTAAGGCGAACAACGCCCAGAGAAACATCACCGATGCTAAGTACACCCCGACGAGTCTCCATCCTTGGCCGTCTATCTCGACTCGGACGATGCTCCAATGGAACAGAACGCCGAGTGCGAATGACTTGGAGCAGGACGAGAGGAGCCCGATCTGCAGCCCTCGCGAGAGCTCCGCGGGCTGAATCTCATCCATGGTGGGTGGGAAGACGGGGCAGGTGGACATTGACGAATACACACCAGTGATATGACAGTCGCGCCTCTTATTCTTTTCTGAACCCCAGCGGGAGAGGACGATGCCGAGCCGGGTCAGTCCCTCCCTGATATGCGAGTCAGCACGGCGAGCCCCACACTGCTGTGCCGTGTACATAGTTACGAGCTGGAACTGGCCCGCTTTTCGCAGGGACCACATCCCAATGCGGAAAAAAGGCATCCGTGCGGACGGTGTGTCGGACCCAAAAGAGCTATAGATGCTGATTCAGGCGTGTGGAACTGTTGGCCGGTATAGGCCATGTCCCTGAGTCCAAGCCTGTAGTATTCGCTTCCCCTTTGCCTCACAACCGCCCATCGGAATCTCTCCTAGAATCCTTCCCCGTCACACCATTCCGGATCAGTGACTCAGATGCGCGGGTCGCCGCGGGCCGCGATGATGCGAGTAAGTGCGTCGGCAAAGCATGAAAGGCCACACGGAGGCATCTCTCCGTAGAACACGAAGGTGATGGATGCACAGAGGGCGGATGTTCATTCAGGAAGCGAAGATCTGTAGGAAGCGATATTGTCGTCTCAGCTTTAGTAGACTGGTCGCCGGACATGTAAGAGCAGGACGCGCGCCCCCTTCTGGTTTCAATCTGCAGAGCTTCTACTCTACGCTTTCTCATCACCATGTCCTCCTCCCGCCAGAGCAGCCGGCAAATCCTGACCCCGGATACGGTGGCCCCGGAGACGCTGCAGCCAATATGCTACTGGACCATCACCCCGCTCTTCGTCGTCACCGTCGTCACCACCGTCATTCGAATCTACATTCGATCCTACATCAAGTCTTTCGGCTTGGATGATTGGGCCGCTGCCACCCTGCTGGTAAGTCTCTCTGATGGAGAGGCAAACACGTGCTGACATTCGACAGCCGCTGAATGCAGGGCTGCAAGCCATTCTGTATATATTCCTACAGCTCGGGGCCGGGCTGCACATCACGCAAGTGCAGACAGAGAGTCCCGAAAGCCTCCCCAAACTCCTCAAGGCAAGTCATGATGAGGCGATTTCGATGCTGTGTGCCCCCTTCTAATCCAGTGCTGCGGCAGGGCCTCTTCGTCATTGAGATCTACTACGTCTGGATGCACTTTCACCTCAAGCTGGGCTTCCTGTTGTTCTACCTGCGCCTCTCGCACCTGAAGTCGTTCCGGATCGTCGTGTACGTTACAATGGCCTGCAACGGCCTGCTGACTGTCGGCATTTGGCTGCTGTACTTTCTCCAGTGCACGCCGCTGGAGGCGTTCTGGAATCCCATGAAGTACCCCAAGACGCATTGCCTTGACACGAGCATCACATACTTCGTTCCATACAGTTTCGTAAGTTCCGAGACTCCCCAGCAAGTTCATGGCCGAGTGCTGACAGCCGGCGGGTTTAAGATCATGGTGCTGGATGTCACCATCCTCGTGCTGCCCATCCACACCGTCTGGAATCTTCAAATGACGCTGAGACGTCGGCTCGCGGTGCTTGGCGTCATCTGCACCGGCGGGGCGGCGGTGGTCATCTCGGCGCTGCGCATAATGGTGCTGTTGCAGTTTAGCGCCAGCCCAGACTTTACGTGGACCCTGGGAAAGATGATCATTGTGTCGGCGTTTGAGATCAACATCGCCATCATCGCGTCCAACATGCCCTCCATCAAGGCGCTCTGGCTGAACTGGCGGGGCGGCACGCTGAACTCGTCGCAGCGCTCCAAGTACAGCCAGCATCACCAGCTGTCGGACATGCCGTCGAGCAGCTTGCAGTCACGGCGTCCGAACCAGAATGCGGATAACGTGTCCGAGGAGTCGTTGGTGGCGAAGGAGGCATTGCAAGGAGCGTGAGACTAGGAGGAGATCTGAGTGTGCCCGGCACGCCTACTTTGTACGATAGGATTATGAACTATAATGCGATTCGTGCTATTCCTGATCAGCGTTTTCCTCATTGGTGGGCTCGTAAATTCGTGCAGGTCCACGTCCGAGCTGTGTATGTGCGGTGTGCGAATCATTGAAAACCCCGCAACGTGTGCGCCATTCCCGTCTGTAACCGTTCGCTTGGGATCCCTTAAAAAGACCTAACTTCAGGCCATCCTCATGCACGGGGCTGATCCGTCTCGCTCATTTCATTCATAAGGGGAACCACATCGTAGTCATTCAGCTCGATTTTTTTTTCTTTCACCAGGATTGCGCAATGACTCTGAGCAACAGATGACAAGACCAACGACGGCCTCTCAGAGCTGAGAATTACAAATCTCTTCTGTCACGAAAGGCTCTCCGTGCTAAGAAATGCAAAGATTGACAAATGAGTGGAGCCGACAACTAAAACATACTACCAGTTCTTCCAAATCCCTCAAAGCCTCCCCTGCTCCCCCCCGTAGCGATCCATGATCGACGTACACAGCAAATTGCCCGCCGTCAGCAGCAGACACGCATCCAAAAACCGCCACTCCTCTTTATCCAACCCCCCGTCCTCTTCCAACAGCCTGCCCACCTCGGCATCCATATCACACTCGACCTGCAGCTGCAGCCCATACACGACGCCCTTGGCCGCCTCGTCGCTCGGCAGGCCCAGCAGCTGCTTGACCACGTGCACCGAGTTGATCAGGTGCTGAATCTTGCCCGCGGAGAAGGCGCGCTTCTCCTTGGCGAAAGAGCCCAGGTCGTTTGCGAAGATCATGTGGTTGCCCATCAGCTCAATGATCTTGGCCATCCGCGGGGAATGGATGTCGACGGTGGAGTCGATGGAGAACTTGGTGCAGGCGAGGATGCATCTGAGCCGTATACGTGGGTTAGCAGCTTTTCAGATCGGCAGGAACAGAAGGGGGGGGAAGGCCGGGAAAGGAGTCAGGTGGCGGAGTGGAATGATCGGCTTACGGATACGCAGCGTCTTCGCGCCGATACGCCAGGTAGTCGGCCAAGTCGGCGAACGGGCGCGGCGGCGGCGGCGGGTGCGAGCAGAAGCCGATGAGCTCGTCGATGACTTCCTGGCCGCCCGTGCTGGAGAACTGGCGCAGCTCCGCGATGCTTTGGTCGATCATGGCCTGGAGCGGCGTCTTTGTGCTCGTTTCTGCCGGGGACTCTCCTGCTTTGTCCGAAGTTTGTAGCCGTGAGACGAAGTCATCGCGCAGCTTGGTCACTTCTTCGCCGTCTTCCATCTCCCAGAGATCTGCGCACGCGGGAAAACGGGGATTAGCTTTGGGAATGGGTACTTTCTATGAAGCCGGAGTGTAGAGCACGCACCGTCAAAGACAAAAATGTACACCATGACGATAGCCAACAGCTTCACCTGCTGCTCGTCTGCCTCGGGGAAGAGGTACACGGCGAAGCGCAGGAACCCATCCTCGATGTTCTGCAGCAGCTTCGCCGAGATCTTCGAAAACGTCTTGCCTGACCTGACCGCCTGCTTGAACGAGTCGTCTTGCAAAAAATGCTGGAGCGCGTCGGAACCGGCAGATAGGACGGTGCGCCAGTACTTGCTCTGCCGGAACACGCGCAGGGCAGTCCGACTCGCGATGCCGGCGTCGGCAGGGAAGATGTCGATCCAATTTGCGGCTTTTGAGTTGCTTGAAGCAGTGGCGGGCACGCCGGCGCGGTCCAGCAGAGCCCCACTGGCAACGAGATTGTTGAGCTTCAAGGAGGGCAGCTGCAGAAAGTCTAGCGAGACGTCGCGGAGGTAGTCGTACGAGTAGTTGACCGAGAAAAGGTGGGCATGGTCCTCGGTCGAGGCGAGCCGTGCTACATGTTCAGGAGGCAGTCAGTTCTGATGATCAAGCATGAGATATCACCCTTTCGTCACACCCACCATTTGCCGCGCTGGTCATATTGGTTGAGGTGGTTGGATGATGAGATCAGTTGAATTTGCTGGTAAGGCTATAGAGTGCTGATCTTTTGATGATCGAATGAGTGTTGATTGTTGGCATGAGGGCTGAAGGGTCTGCCCCCCGGGGCTGCCTTATATATCCCGAAAGTGGCTCACTGCTTGTACTACATACATGATTGCACGTGATTCAAAACGGAGCTTCACAACTACCGTATGATATAGGAATGCTCGTGAGTGATTGACAGGAGACAGAGGATACGACACGGAGGCAGTGCACCTTTCACGGCACGGCCTTAGTCAGTTCAAAAGATGGGGGGAGGAGGAGGCCTCAGTACGCAAAACCACGCGTGTTGAACTTCACGAAGCTGACTCGGCTTTCATCGCCTGCCGAACTCGACGATTTTCACATCTATATCGCGGTTCCCTATAGTCCGTGTATATGACGTGTACGTGGCCTGACAAATAAGAGCAGAGGAGAACAGTTGAAGTACCCCCGGCATGAATAAGGTACAATCAAAGCTTGTGCCAGGGGAGGACGCAGGCCATCCAACCGCGATTCAGGTCGTGTCCGCAACACTGGTAAAATGTCGCAACACCTGTCAGACCGGCCAATCACCTTCTCGGCACGAAAGCTCCTTCAACGGTCCCTGATTAAAGTACGCGGGGGACGCGGACCGTGCGAAGCATTCGTGTGTGCCGTGCGAAATGATCAACAGGCCGTGCTGTCGGGATTGAGAACTTCCTGAACCGGCCCGACCGAGGTAGTGCTGTCCATCACTTGATACAGTTACTCCCTAGAGTCAGTCGAGAAGATGATACCGGTCAGCAAGAGCTGCAACTCTGCAAGCGAGCTCTCGGCCATGCTGCGGCGGAAGCAACAAACCCGTAACCGTGTATGCTCCCCTATCATCCTCCTCATCACTTCCGAGGCCACCTGCTGAATCTATCTGAACCCACCATCTAGATAGATATTTCTTCATCTCTGCGGCCCGTTGATCTCAGCTACTAGCTACTTGCATGTGTGTGCACAAAGGGGGTAAGGTGTCGATCAGCTTCGCTTTGCTAACTTTCTATCCTCATTCTAAACAGCGGCAGCACTCTGAAAGATTTCAGCCGGGGTTGTCGAAATGACAGCGGGAAAGGCAGGGTTCAGAGCTATCATTGCCGGAGGCGGCATCAGTGGCCTTTGCTTGGCCAACATGTTTGAGAGACTCGGCATCGACTATGTTCTCCTCGAGGCATATGGCGAAGCCGCCCCGCAGGTGGGAGCCAGCATCGGACTACTACCAAACTCGCTACGTATCCTAGACCAGCTGGGTTGCTACGACGACATCCGGGCTCTGACAGAGGAACCCTCGCAGACTGCCTATGCCAGAGGGCCAGACGGGAACAAGCTGATGACCCTGTCGAACCTATCTTTGCACATGATCAAAAGGTAAAAGATGAGTGAGCCCGCACTTTGAAGAAGGCATTCTGATGACCATCTGCGAGCAGGCACGGTTATCCCATTCTTTTTGTCGACCGTCAAATGGTTTTACGGGTGCTGTACGACCATTTGGAAGACAAGTCTAAGGTGCTGCTTAACAAAAAGGTTACTAAAGTTGCACTCTCCGCGGAACGAGTGGAAGCCACTGTCGCGGACGGCTCTTCATATGTCGGCGACATCTTGGTTGGAGCCGATGGAGTGCACAGCTTCGTCAGGAGAGAAATGTGGCGCATCTCCGACGAGGTCTCACCTGGCCCCGTTCCTCACTCTGAATACAAAGGTATGTAGGGCCTTTTCAGACCCGGAGTAGATTGTGGCTTGCTGACGCACGGCCAACTGGTCAGCCATGCCGTGTGATTACGGGTGTATCTTTGGAATCTCCAGACCCATCGAGGGGATAGACTTTCAGAACATTCACACCGTGTTCAATAAAGACCACTCGCACTTGGTTATTGCCGGCCCTGGGGCGCGAGTGTATTTCTTTCTCTTTTTCAAACTCAACCGCACTTACGGCCCAAACATTCCCAGATTCACCAAGGATGACGAGGAAGAATTGGCCAGGAAGCATCAGGATGATCCCATCACCGAGACAGTGAGATTTCGGGATATCTACAATCACCGCACTGTGTCGGTCCTGACTGCACTGCCCGAATACGTCTTGGAGAGGTGGCACTTTGGCAGAATCATGACCATTGGGGATGCGGCTCACAAGGTATGCCCTCTGCTTTCCTTGCGCATGCAACTGTGATGGTAATTCACTCGGCAGTTCGAGCCACTTTCAGGCCAAGGGGGCAACAATGCCATTGAAACGGCAGCCGCTTTGACCAATGCATTGCAGTCGGCTCTGGACTCTCACCCACAGGGGCTGAACGACAAGGACATGTCGTTCGTGTTTGAGCAGACGAAGAACCTCCGGGCCCCGCGTTGCACCCAGCTCGTGAATGAAGCACATCTTCAGCAGCGGATTGAAGCCATGGAAAATGGCTTCTTCGGATGGCTTGCCTGCCGCATCATTCCGAAGCTGCATCTGGAGACGCATCTAAGAAGATGGACAGACCCCGCCGTTGCTTCAGTCCGCCTCAACGGGCTGGCGGTTCCTAAACGCAGCAGGTTCGTGCCTTACGACGATGAGCTGCCATATCCTCCACTTCGTGGGAAATGCGTCTCGACGTTCGCAATGGCCTCGCTATTTGCTGCGTTGGTCTGGACGCAGACAGCAGGGCTGCCTTTGCTCGACCAGCTCTTGGCCCAGTGCTGTATTCTTCATGCGGAATCACCAGCACGTGTCTTCTCTGGACTTGACAGGTTTACTGCGGCGATTTCGACCCCCCACTGGAGCATGTTTCTCCCGGTCTACGTGATTTGGACCGTGGAGGGCTACCGCAACGGCAGCTCCCGGACTCTGGTGTCATTGTAAGTCTGGAGTGTCGAAGCACGCATCAACGAACAAAAGGCTGACGGAACAAGCAGCCCATCCCTATGGGCCATGGCTTCCTACTTTTTAGGACTTGGCATCGTTGCTCCGCTGCACTGTTTTGTCAGTGTCTTCGCGACATCAAACGACACTTATGCACGGACATCTGGGCGCCCACTTCCAGTCGCCGCTGCCAGAGCAGTCCTTGTGTCATCGCTCGCCGTCTGCATTACCGCGGCAATGCCTCTTCTTCTCGGCCAGTGGCACGTTGATGTTCCCGGTCCAGCATTGGCGCTGATCCCACAGGTGCCACTGTTGGTGCCGCTCCTCACGCTTCTCCCCCATCTTCTCCCTTGCCACCATCAGGATTCCGCACTGGACATGTACGAAGGAAACGACACGCCGTTGCTACGAGTCGTGTACTTAATCTCCTTCCTCACCGCAGCCGCCGCTCATCTGTGCGTTGCTTTCCAGTCATGGCCGTCTCCAGACGTCTTGAGCGGAGCCTACGCTGTGCCTTCGCACGACTCCATTGCCGGGCTGGCCGCCATCTGCTGCTGGTGCTTCTACAGCATCTATGAGGTGCGGCGGCTCGGCTACGCTTCCACGCCACAGGCTCTGAGAGCGGCCTGCGTTCTCGTCGCGGGCCAAGTGCTGGTGGGGCCGGGAGCGGCGTATGCCGGAGTGTGGTACTGGCGTGAAGAAACGGTGGCTCGGCTATCTATTGGTAGTGGGCAGATGTAACGCACGTCGTCAAAGAATTATATCTAGCTCGATCCATGTGTCATGGCACCAACCTCACAAGCAGGCAAGAAGTGTGACAGTACTTATTTGCTCGGCACAGGTCTTCGAGAGGTGGCGGCCGGTGTTGCAGTAAGAGCGGTGGGCATCTGGATGCTGGCATTGCCACACTTCATCCGCGACCTTCCGTGGCTGATTAAGGGATCAATAAACATGGTCTTAATCTTGGCAGCAGGGTAAACGACAACGTTGTTACGTTTCTGAAAGGCCTTTTCTAGCCAGTGCCCGACCATAACGACCTCGCATGGCCTCGCGAAAAAAATCCACTGGAACTTTAAGCTTATCAGGCGTGGTATATATAAGCGATCAAGGACGCGGTGACTACTGAATTAGACTTGTTTCCGATTTGACCATGTGGTCCTCCGTTCCGTTGGGGATCCTCCATTGACTCGCGTCACGCCATCGCTTTTGCCCGGTCCCTATGGGCTTTTCTTTCGGCTGCTTCCTCTTGCCAGTCCCATACGCGCCGGATCCCCATGCACCTGGAACTTCCCGTGCGGGGTCTTTGCCCGTGCGGCTTTTGTGCCCTGCATCATGAGGCTCCTTGGCCCTTGCGGAGCTTCCTCCGGCGCTGGCTTCCAGCCCGGGTTCGCAGCAAAAGTTTCTCGCGTTCGGATTTCGTATTAACATTTCTACCAAGCCTTGGTGCATGGACACACTTAGTTAGTAGCCAAGACGAGTAAACGAGACAACGTGGCACAAAGGTCGCACGATGCATTATTAGCGTGCTGGATGCGGCAAGGTTCCGGCATCTGCTTCCGCTGCACAGCTCGGCCCGGCCCTTAGTTGGTCCCTTGAAAATCGCTTGGCGATTAGAGCCCAGACCGACCGACATTACTATAGTACAGCTGCGGCGGTGTGCCTGCCTGCCCGCCCCACCGGCACAAGGAAGAAAAGACCCTCGAAAAGGGGCGCTGTGGGGTTCCATGGCTTTTGGTGGCCCGAGTTCATCATACGTGGCATGTAAAACCAATCATGCCAACTAGCGTAGGAAAAGAAAAAAGAGAAAGGAAGAAGGATACTTATTTTCGCACTTTGCTCTAGCGCTAAGGAGGCGGTAACCTACGAATCATGTACTTACAAGGCGGCGGCGATTCCTCAACATGGAGATGAAAGCATAGAGATGATACCCGTTTCCATTGACTAGCTAAGAGCGAGCGAAAAGACTCTTCTAGCTGGTATGCTATCTCTACTTGTAGAGGACAATGCGATCAGGGACAACCCGAGATCGAACAGTCACGGCAGGTAGAGGCATGAGCTCCGTAGTGTCTACAAGCAGCCAGCCAGTGATCCCCATCGATACCTCCAATATTCCCACCCGTGTTGATGAGTTTACACTGGAGTCGTTAGAAACCCATGGTACGTCGCCCTCACTAGGATTTACTTACAAAGGGATCTTCGATGGCAGTAGCTGGTAGCATGTTAGTATCGGTAAAACGGTAGACGGCGCCTCTACTTACGGGTACGAAGGCCAGCTGACTTCAAGTCGGAGGCGTAGGTGGTTCGATAGTAATCGCATGCCTTCTGGCTGAGGCTCAACTCTTACCCACTCATCCCGCCCATCATGAAGGTTCTCAGCACTCTCTTCCTCCTTACAGCCGTCGTTGCTGCTCTCCCACAGCCACAGGAGTCTGTTCCTTCGGACAACGACACTTCAATCGACGTGTTCTACAACGGAACAGCGTGCAACGACATCGCTTGCGTCACCCTTGAATTCCCTGAGGATCTGGGTTACACTTACGACAACACGTCGTCGCTGGCAGAGAACACGACGGACATCGACACGAGCAACCCTCTCCAGCGTCGCAAGGGCAGGACCGATGCTCTAGCCCTTGCTGCCGATGTCCTCCATTACTACTCCTCCCAGTATGAGGAGTGGCTCAAGGATCAAACGGTGAGTTAGTTCTCCGCTTTACCAAATACCCCGCTAATGCAGCATCTAGAGACGTCGGGACTTCACTCGGGGTCTCTCTTCGAAGTTGAGGGATGATACTGGCTGCAACATCTTCGTCTGCAATGTCGGCTACACCGTATCTACCCCGTGCGACTACGTCGGCAACGTCCATCTTGACCTCAAGCAAAAGGATGCTACGGTTGTCACGTAAGTCATCTGTACTGTACTGGTATACAAACTTTTCTAATTCCCATCTTAGGTACAGCATCTGCTTCGCGAACATCCTGACATTCCACCGCCAAGGTGATGGAGGCTTCGAGAACGTGAGTGACTTGCGATTGAGACGTTACTGAATGGCTACTAACAAGTCTTGATAATAGTGGGCGTGGGCTACGGCTGGGGCCAACTCTTGCGTGGCTCGATCTGATCCCGCATATGTTGACTGCAAATACTCCTCTCCAAGGTGCGAGAAGCCGGATGCTTAGCTACCAGGTTACCACCACAGGACCCAGAGCTAGGGACTGTCTCAACACAGCATGGTCGTCACGGTTTTTACGAGCTTTGAGGAGTAAAGGCCCAGACGTCTGAATTCCTAGACTGTTCCTATCCCAAGGCTCTCGACATGTTTCAACAACATGGTCTTACTTTCGACTCATCTCTATGGTTTTCAATGTACTTTAGCATCTGATGCTCGAGCTATATAGTCTAATCTTGTGATGGTCATCAATTCCACTCCCCATATGCATTGCAATGTGCGTGTAAATGAAAGCTAGGAGCTGCGTCGACGGGGATGAAGTCGATCGACTAATGGTTTGTAGCCTGCATATCGCGCAGGGCGATGGGTCGGGGTAAATGAATTCAATAGTAGGGTAGCCCTTTGCAGATGCCCACATCTCCCTGACCACTCGGGTTACGGTGCTCTTGACCAACTGCCCACCAGCCTGGGGTTTGACTCTCGCCAGGAGCACGATTTCGACCACTTGCGTGACGATTGAGAATCCCCTGCAAACGGGAGATCTGAGTGCCGCCTTCGTGCCAGGACATCACCAAGCTGCTACGTGCAGAAAAAGCAACCTCACGCCAGCATGCCGCTGCGGTGCCCACGCACCAGGTGAGTGCTCAGGTGAGAGCTCGGCTGGCCAAACCTTGGCGGGAGCAACCGGGCGCCAGGCGCACGGTCTTGTTGCCCCCGCCGAGCTCTCACCTAGTGCCAGCTCAGCCAAGTCTCCTCGGTCGCTCGGATTCTGCTTGGCGACAAACGGATTATTATAGCACCATGCGAACTATGAAGCTGTTCGAATCGTGTAGCTTCCGCACGGTCGCTTGTCCCGCATCTTCGAAGTCATTGTATATAGACTAGGTAGCCCGGAGTGAGCATGTTCGCACGCTTTGGGTTTTGGTCACATTGAAGCTAGCCGGATTGCATGGGAACTTTCTTTAGCCTAAGTTCGCAGCTGCGCAGGAGTTTAGGCGACTGTTCGAATGGAGCAGGAATATGGTTCGACACCATCAGGTTTCTCTGAATCGTCGACCTGGCCCATAAGCATCCCTCCGCCGTCTGCCGCCGGGGAAATGAAGCCATAACACACAGAGGGAAGGGAAGGAAAGAGCAGGCAATCTTACAAGGTGGGAGTATAAATATCTGCCAGCTCGCACCTCAAGAAGCCCATCCACAACCATTCGATCCAAACAGTCAACTCCATCATACCATCACCAGCACCATGAGAATCTCCACGAGCCGCAGCGGCCTGCCCACTGTGCTGAGCCTGTTTTTGGCTTGCTCTGTCCTCTTGCAGGGCACGCTTGCACGTTCGATTGACTGGCGTCTCCATGCACGCGCCGCCGATGAGATCCCTCACAACCTGACCATCCCGGACAACGAAACCTACCTCCTCAACGGCACCTGGCTTGCTTACTCAAACGGCACCCTCCTCACCTCCGAGGACGGCGACAACTACCCCGTCATCGAGCGGCCCGCCCAAGCCCGTCATTACATCGAAAAGGTCGAGCACAACAAAGCCGCCTTCTGGTCCGGCATCGACTTCGAGCTCTCCGTCCGCATCGCCCGGCGCGAGGGCTGGCACACGCTCGAGATGTCCGTCACCCGCGAAATCACCTCGCACCCGTGGGCGCAGTCGACCAGCCCGCACTACGAGCACTTCTGGGAAGTCGTCTCGGCCGCCTTCACCGAGAGCCTCATCGACGACAAGCACACGCAGGTCTACGCCATCCTGCGCCCCCCCACCTCGCTCACCCCCGGCGGCCCGTTCAAGGACGGCCGGGCGGTGCGCGGCAGCGACTTCGGCGACGTCGAGTTCCCCCGGCTCGAGAAGGCCGGCATCACCGTCTTCGCCATCCACCCGACCGCCTCCGACGCCACGCGGGCGAGCGAGACGTACGAGATCTCGCCCAAGGACAACGTCAGGCTCTGGCAGAAGAGCGGCCTCTCGTCGTCGGGCACCGCGGAGACCGAGTGCCCCAACGCCAAGAACAAGTTCATGCTCGGCTGCGGGAACTCGGCGACCAAGGAAGAGACGCGTTTGACTACCTGCGGCGGCATCTCCGAGCACGAGATCGTTCTTCCGGGCGGCGGCTTTTGCGACTTCTCACACACCGGCAATGCTGGAACTCACAAGGTTCGTTTCACCAAGTCGGAGGATGTGTATTGGCTCGAGGCGTGTGAGATCCACGAATTTTGTCCTTGAATGGCGTCCTTTGCTGGACTTTATGGGCTGGGATAGGATGGTATAGGATTGGTTTAGTCAAGCCGGCGATGTCTTCGAGGAAGATATAGAACCATGCCACATATATCGCCTTAACAATAAACTGTCACTGCCTAGCCTTATTCAACTACCAAGTGAAGAGCTTTGTATCCGTCACTGTTGCCAATCTACCACCCTTCCCATAGGCAGCAGGGCCGGAAGCCGCACCGGCAGACTCGGGTCTGACACGCCGCGCATCCGTCAGAGAGTTGTAGTTGGCGATCGAGCCTATGGTGACGATGTCTTCGGATATCAAGCTGGCACAGCACATGGCCGAAGCCCATGCCGAAGTCGTGGCCGAATCCGCTGTGACCACCTCCTTATGTCCAACCACCGGTACTACAAGGACCCTTGTCACTGCCCTTCAACTACCCAGGCCCCAATGCTCATTTAGTGCTTTCGGCCGTGTACAGTATATGATTAACCATCGTGTATGATCCTCATGAGAGTCTGCATAATCCGGTCAAAATCCATCAAAATCCAGCATATCGAAAACATTTGAATCCAAGGAGAAAGGGAAACTTGCAGGGCCCCACAGGGGATCGCCGGCACCTGGAACATCCCCAGCACCATCTATTGGAAGGTTCACTAGAGTTAGATCATTACCAGAATTGTGGTGGACATCTCCACGAGAAACTGGCTGATGCGTATCCTCGACGGTCGGCTCGTCAGCTGAAACATCATGCCTCTGGATATCCGTAGCTTCCAGTACATCCGCTGTGTTGGAAGCGCTTTCGGTGGGGAGATTAGAGCCTGCTATTGCGGTATCAGGATTGTCAAGACTTCGTTGAGGTTGTAGCCGAGATTCGTCATGCATCTCCTGTTGCTGGAAGGTGTGAGAGAGGATTTCCTGGCATCGACGCACGATTGCTTTCAACTCGTGTGAAAGCTCATCTTCGAGAACTTGGGAACGTTCCTCTACGGCTGCTTCGAGGCTCGATCGGACAAGGCGAGGCAGCTCTCTCCGGATATACCGCTCAAATTCTGAAGAGAAGTGTTCTGACTCTCGAAGATGCTGGCAAACTGCCTGACCGTACCAATCTACAGAATGTTAGCGTGTATGAACTTGGGTTTGTGCTGCTCTGTAGGATAGACGATGATTGAACTCACATGGTGATGGCATGTTTTCTTCGTCATCTTGGGGGAAGATGATCGCATAAACAGCACGCCACTTGTCTTCTTCAGTAGCCCCTTTCGGCCTCTTCTTGCTCTTTATGAGGTCTGCTTGCTTCCTACTTAGTCTTTCTTCAACTGGACGGACAAGGCTTTCTGGACACCTCTGCTCTGCTCGCAAGTGTTCATTAAGATCGTCATCAGAGTCAAAGACTTTGAAGCATCGAGGGCATTGCTCTTGAGGGGCATGGGCACGGAAAAGGTGTTCTCTATGATATGTCAGCCATGGAAAGTCCACCTAGCAGCTTCCGGGGGGAATGAAAGTCGTGAGTGCTCACTTCAACCTGGACACGGATGCAAATCCTTTCGAGAAACAAGCCGCGGGCCTTGAGGGAGCTTCTGGCTGACGTTGGAAGTATGGGCATGCGAATCGCTTTGTTTCGTCTGCTTCGTATCTTGTCAAAAATGGCTGACGACGTTCATTGTCGCTATCTCCGTCATCTGAGTGGTTTCTGCTACTAGTACGCTTGCGCTTGGCTCTCCGCTCTTGGCTTGATTGTGTCGCAATCGTACACGTCTGTACAGAAGAAGAGTCCGCCGCTCTATTTCGGCTTTTACGACCCGATTCTTGGTCGACGCGCTGTCGTAGGCCAGGTCCAACGATGGGCAGGTCAGCATCCCCAGGTCCGTTGGGGCAGAACTCAGAGCCGGTGTCGTAGACAGAGTCCCAACCATCGCTAGATGATGAGACTTCGTCCTCTGACCAAGCTTCTATTGTTTGGCATGAGCATGGTGAATCCCCATTTAAGCTCTTCTGAAACTTCAACATCAGGCGTTCGACGATGTGCCGGTTTTGCTGGCGTTCTATCGTCGTTGAGATGGTGAGTGGTACTGGAACCCCGAGAGGTCTTTGGGTTGTCAGTTGCCTCACTGGCTCTGGCGAACCAGATCGTATTTGGGGAATATCAGACTGGGCTCTGAGGGGGTTTGCCTGCTCTTCCACGCGCCATTCGAACTCTGGCTCGTGGAACTTGCGCACGCTTCGGGTGTTGGACCCGTGTGGCTGCACTCCATAAGAAGTTGAAGGGAGAGGCACTCTGGATGTTGCCTTGTCTCCAAGTCTTTTCATCATCTCCTTTCCAAGCCTGGTTGCAAACGGCTCTGACACGTGCCCCCGAATGTCTACATGAGCCACACCAGTGAGGCCAAGAAGCGGCTCTAGTACATACTGAAAAGCGTTTGCCTTCTCTCGAAAAGGATTTGGTATAAACTCCCAGAAAACAGTATTTGTGAAGCTAGGAAAGCCACCATACCTGAAAGTCCCGCATACGAGCTCGACCTGGAGCACCTGCAAACAATGGACTTGGCTGTGATTGCCGAACATTGCGACAAGCTCGCGCAACCAAGCCTGTACGCGCCTGTATGGTACTGGCTGGGTAAGGTCTTCCTCGATGCGAACACTGACACGGCGCATGCGTCGTAGGCAGAAGTGTGAAATCCCAGCTGTCTTGATCGTGTTGATTGGTAGGCCTCGTGCGTGAGGAGTATTGAGTGCCCGCAATCCGGCAGCGTCATCGTTCGACCCGTCAGATGTTGTGCGTGGAGAAAAGGCCCAGACGCGCTCGCGCGTGGTCATGCTGAAATGGAAAGCATTTCCCCCGTAAAGTGCATCAGTCAACTCAAGATAAGTTTGCTGACAAGCCCGCGATAGCGACGTCCAGATACCCATAGAAGTCCATACGCCGGGAATGTGCACTTCATAGCTTCCGACTGGAGCACATGTTTTAGGGATCCTGCGTGTGAGGGGATAGAAGGTTATGTCGTGGGTGTGTGGCACAAGATACGAGTAAATAAGCAGCCGAAGCTCGCTTGGAAGGCGCAGAAGTGAGCTGTCTTGCTGTTGGCGTCGGGGCTGCTTCCAGGAACGGTGTGTCGGATATTCCGAACGCTCGTCATTTGGTTCGTATGCTGACTGAAGAGAATGAGCAAACAGTAAAACAGTGTTTTAGAAGAACTTTACCTCGCTCAGAGCCTGTGATTGGGCGTGGGGTGGTGCCTCGCAATGTCGAGGGCTCGTCATTCCTGCAGAAGAAGCGTGACGGGCTGGACCTCACGAGCTATGGTATGTCGTCCGTTCGTGGTGGAGGGAGAGGGAGAGAGAGAGAGAGAGAGAGAGAGAGAGATGGATATTCCCAGCCTCGAGAAAGTCAAGTCGCGTCGGTCATGCTACAAAATGACCAATCGGCGCTGAATAGGCGTGCCTACCCCGCATGAGCCGACGTCTCGTACGCAAATGCGTTATTCTTGAAACGCGCATTTCGGGAGCGCCATAAAGCTCTTGAATATCTTGGCTTGATAATCTATTAATACAGAACCTTGCACATTTCGATGGTGTAACGGGTTGTATCTACTGCCGGAGGGTCTCTGTAAATCACCTCGCACCCATACTCTTTACAATCCTCTCCCGCCTATTCTCCCTATCCCTATCGTCCTTCCAACTACCTCTATCACGCCCCGCACCCCCTCCCGCACCCCCTCCCCTACCCCTGTCATTCCTCTTCTCTTCACGGTCACCACCGACTCCACCCCTCTTCTCTCGGTCCCGCCCAGCATCACCGCCATCCTTGTTCCTCTTCGCCTTCTTGTCGCCCACGATTTCCTTCTCCTTCTCGCGGGGATCTATGACGACGAGCTCCTCTTCATTCTTCCTCTTCCACTCGAGGTCCTTTCCAAGCCTGTCCTTTTCAAAGCTGAGGGCGTGATTCATCCAGCCCGCGTCGTTGTCGTCGTCGTTGGCGGCGGCCGCGGCGTCGGGAGCGTCGTCCCAAGCGCGGCAGGACTGGCAATTGGGGATGAAGTGCAAGTCACACAGGATGGCCTCCGAATCCTCCACCTCTTCGACGGCGGCCTTCTCCTTGGTGGCGGGGACCTGCCGCGGTTCGGGCTCGGCGGTCGCCGGCGGCGGCGTCTTTTCTTTCGGGGCGCTCTCCAGCTTCGTCTTGAAGGCGTTGAACAGCTGCATGGCTTGCGAGTCGGCCTTGGCGTCGGCCGCGCCGCCCCGTCTCTTCCGGCCGCGGGTCGAAGACTCTGGGATCATGGCTTCCAGGGCGGACTTCTTCTTCGGGGCCTCTTTGGGAGCGGATCCGGTGTTGCGCTTCATGCTGGCCTTCAACTCTGCGATTTGGGCGTTCGTGCGCTCGAGGAGGGAGGACATTTTGTTGACTTGCTCGGGCTCAGAGTCGGACGAGACGGAAGGCGACCGGGAGGAGCGGCGCGGTGGCGGAGGTGCGGCCTTCGCCTTGGGCGGTGGTGGGGAAGGCGAACGCTTGGGCGAAGGTGGCTTTGCGGGCTTTGGTTGCTTGGGCGCGGCTTTACGAGGAGCGGGGCCGGGGGCGGCGGCGTCGTCGTCGTCGCCAGCACTGACGAGCTTGGGGTTGAACTTGGGCTTCTTGACTACTGGTGCGACATCCCCCTCCTCGGCTTCATCGGCACCAAAGCTTAATAGTTGCTTCGCGGCCTTGCGTTTTGCCTTTTTCGGACCCTTCTTCTCCTGGGCCTGGGGCTGGGCCGTGTGCATGCGCTTGACCATGTCCTCGAAGGGGTTGATGATGATTTCGGTGCCGGTGATCTTGGTGGGGTACAAGGGACGCTCGCTGCCGTCCTCGTCGGTCAAGTCGGCCTCGCCCATTTTCATCAGATTGTAGATGGTGTCGCCCTCGATGCGGCCAAACATGGTGTTGGTCTTGGTCAAGTCGGGGGTCTGGGCGAGAGTCAGGAAGAATTGGCTGCCATTGTCGTCCTTTTTGCCGGTGTTGGCCATGCCCAGCAGGCCGCGGCGGTTGAACTTGAGGCGCGAGTGGAACTCATCGGCAAAGGGCTCGCCATCAAAGCTGCTCTCGCCGCCAGAGCCGGTGCCGGTGGGGTCGCCGCCCTGGATGATGAAGCCGGGAACCAGGCGGTGGAAGATGGTGTTGTCGTAGTAGCCATCGAGGCAGAGCTGCAGGAAGTTGCGCGAGGCCAGCGGGGTCTGCTTGGCAAACAGCTCGAGGGCGAGGTCGCCGGCGGTGGTGTGCAGGATGACCTTGGCCGTCGGCGGCGGCTCGAGATTGTACACGGACGACATGGCGGGGGCGGGGCGCTAGGCCAGCGCAGGGCGGGAGGCGATTGACGCGGTGGGTGGGCTGCGGGAGACGACGTGGTTTCTGGTGGTGGGCGGCGGTGGGCGGTGTTGCGGAAAAGTCGGCGGCGGACAGAGTGACACTGACAGCTTGAGACGCGATCCCTCACTGGTCCGAGCGCGAGCCTCCAACGTCACTCCGACGGCCGGAAATTCAAGCTTCAGCCCTGCCCGTCCGTCCGTCCCTCCCTCCCTCAACCAACAGAGCTGCCCGCTGCTCAACCACTTCTTACCCGCCATGCGCTGATTTTGGATCTTGTGCTCTCGCTGCTCCACCACAGCCATGCTGCCCTTCATTAACGCTCGTATGCACCCACGTCGAAGCTGCTCCAAAAACCCCGCTGACCATCTCCCCAACAGCTTTCGCCTACGTCGCCGGCGCCCTGGGCTCGTCCCCCGACGAGCGTACGTGTCCTCGGCCAACTTGCACTCACCGTGGCTGACAGGCTGCAGTCAAGCTCGTCGGCTCCTTCCTCATCTCGTACCCTCTTGCCGCCGCCCTCAAGCGCATCCCCGACTCGAAGCCGTGGCAGAAGAATGCCTTCATAATATCGTACCACCCCGATCCCGCCGCCCGCCCTTGACCACCTCTCACAATCACCCAGGGTTTCTCTGTTCTACCTCGTCGGCTTGTTCGACCTCTGGGCCGGCCTTCGCACCCTGTTCATCAGCTCCGCTGGAGCCTATGCCATCGCCAAGTACATCGAGGGTCCGTTGATGCCATGGATCGGCTTCGTCTTCCTGATGGGCCATATGTCTATCAATCACCTCGATCGCCAGTTCAGGAACGAGCCCCAGAACGTCGACATCACCGGTGCTCAGATGGTCTTGATCATGAAGCTCACCGCCTTCTGCTGGAACGTCCATGATGGCCGCCTGTCCGAGAAGGAGCTGTCCGATTACCAGAAAGAGCGCGCTCTTCGCGAATTGCCTCCGGTCCTGGACTATGTGGGTTACGTGCTGTTCTTCCCCTCGCTGTTCGCCGGTCCCGCTTTCGACTACGTCGACTACCGCCAGTGGTTGACTACCAGCATGTTTGAGCTCCCGCCCGGCGTTGATCCCTCCAAGGCTGCCCCGACCCGGAAGAAGCGCAAGATCCCGCGCAGCGGCACCCCCGCCGCTTGGAAGGCCGCCTACGGTCTGGTCTGGATCTTTGCCTTCCTCAAGTTCTCTGGTTGGTACAACACCGACCTGCTCCTGGGCGACGAGTACATGAAGCACAACTTCCTCAAGCGCCTCTACTACCTGCACATGGTCGGCTTTGCCGCCCGCATGAAGTACTACGGCGTCTGGCATTTGACCGAGGGTGCTTGCATTCTCTCTGGCATCGGCTACAAGGGCGTCGATCCCAAGACCGGCCGCGTCAACTGGAATCGACTCCAAAATGTGAAGCCTCTGGGCATCGAGTTAGGCCAAAACACCCATGCCTATCTCGGAAACTGGAACATCAACACCAATCTTTGGCTGCGGAACTACATGTACCTGCGTGTAACCCCCAAGGGCAAGAAACCCGGATTCCGAGCCAGCATGGCAACCTTTGTCACCTCGGCCTTCTGGCACGGCTTCTATCCCGGTTACTACATGAGCTTTGTCCTGGCAAGCTTCCTCCAGACCATTGCCAAGAGTAAGTCCCTCGACCAAGCCTGCCTTCTGTTACTGACACGGACCAGACGGCCGCCGCCTCCTCCGCCCCTTCTTCATGACACCCGACGGCACACGCCCCCTCCCAACCAAGATGTACTACGACATCTTCTCCTGGCTAGTCACTCAAATCGCCTTCTCCTTCACCGTGATCCCCTTCATCACCCTCGAGCTCGCCCCGTCCCTCCTGATCTGGAGCCGCGTCTACTTCGTCACCATCGGCGGCGTCATCGTCTCCCTGGCCTTCCTCGCCTCCCCGGGCAAGAAGATGCTCCAGAAGAAGGTCGCGCAGCGATCCGCAGGAGCCAAGCCCGCAGCCGGCGCCAAAGACGCCACGCCAGCCTCGACCACGACCTCTTCGCAGATTCCGACCGCCGACCTCATCGCCCGCGGGCGCTCGAGCCTCACGGTCGACGACCTGCTCGAAGAGAAGGTGCTCGGCGAGGCGTTGGGCATGCGCCCCGGCCTGAGCCGCAACCCGTCGACCGAGGGCGGCGGCGGCCGGGTGCCCCTGATGGGCCTGCCCGACGACCCGGGCCGCGAGCTCGACGAGGCCATCGAGGAGGTCAAGGCCGAGATCGCGCGGCGGAAGGCGAGCGGCGAGGGCCCGCCGGGGACGCACGAGGTGCGGGCGTGGCTGGAGGAGAAGGTGAAGGAGTTGAAGAAGCGGAGGGATTGAGTGGGCGGGCGGGCGTCTTGCAGAGTAGGTAGTCGGCGACCGGAAGTCCTGATTTTCTTTTTTTGGTCGGACTCCCCGTCTGCTCGGGTTGGTTTTCTGGCACTGGAACTCCTGGTTGTCGAAGCTCATTGATTGCGTACACGAGTTGTCTGTCTCACTGAGTGGTTTGGATAGCTGGGAGGGAAAAGTCCGCTCAAGGCCGAACATTTACCATGCTGATGTTAGAGAGAAAGGGGTCGATCTGAAGGTTCCTTTTGGATGTGTGTACGAATTAGAATACAGCGATATATGAGAAATGCAACTACCAAGTTTCCTCATTCGGGGTTCCGGTCGATAAAAGAGTTTGTTGTGTGATGTGATACCGGTGCACGCTACGGACTACATACATCCCATCCTGGCCGCCGATCTTCCACAGAAATGCCGCCGATAGGTAACATCCGACTACACCCATTCTCGATAACCTGAAGGTTTATGAGGGTTTGGAAGTGCCTTAGTGTCGACGTTATCCCATCCGGGAATTGCTCAACTGCAAATGCTGCACTGTTGACTAATTCTTTTTCCCCTTCGTTCCAAACAAACATACCCAATGCCTACTGCCCGCCACACACACACGCTTGTTCTTATAGACTTAAGTATGTGAAGGCGTCTATTCGTCTGGAAAAAATATCTCGCGAAAAAGAAAAAGAAGAAAAAACTGTAACCCCCATCCCACGTACATACTGCATGCGCTAGAGCAGTCGAAAAAGTCGTTACCAGCACGATTGCCACCATACAAATTTCTGGAGGACGGGAGACGACGCATGGATGCTTTCGACTTTCCAAAGAATAATTCAAGTAGGTAAGGGGGAGGGGGAGCAAATGGCAACGCGCTCACACTGGAAATGGTCAACACCCTGAAAAAAAAAATAAAAGGGGGGGAGAAGCGCTTAACCACGCGCTGCTTTATGCCATATATAGCAACTGGAGCTTCAGATAAGTAAAAGGCGCCCCCCCCCCCCCCAAACCCCAGTGACCCCAATAATCATCGTGATTGGAAAACCAACCTCCCGCCGCATTTCCCCACCACTGATTCCCCCTTTTTCTTCTTTCCTTTTTCTTTTCCCACCACCACCACCACCACCAACCCGCTAAACGATGATTCAAGCCAGGGAGAGACGCAAAGCAAGTAAAGTCGGATTCAAAGCGGCAAGATGGCCGGTTCGGGGCCGGCGGGCACGACGCCGTTGCCGGCAACCCTCGAGTAACCCCACTTCCACTAAAAGCACGGCGGCGTTATCAGAAAATGTCAATTCTTTCCCCCCCGGATATTCACTCCCCTCCGATTTTTTCTTGGAGAAGGACGAAGGGTGGGAAAAAAAAAGAAATGACGTGGAGACGTCGTATTATTCCTTCTTCCTTTGAGACTCACCTTCTCGACCTTGGTCGTCGCCTTGAAGGCGCCGCCGCCGGTCCGCTCGGTCTCGTCCCAGTAGAGGGTGCGCATCCAGCGGTCGATGCGGGGGTAGTCGTGCCTGATCATCTTCAAGTTGCACTTGAACAGCGTGTGGTAGGCGGTGTCGAAGCGGACGACGGTGGGGAACAGGCGGATGTCGGCCTCGGTGATGTGCTCGCCGAAGAGGTAGGGGCCGGGCAGGCGGCGCTCCTCGTTGGCGGCGAGGTGGCGCTCGATGCGGTCGAGGCTGGCGAAGAGCGGGTAGATGCTGGCGTCGTAGGCCTTTTGGGCGGTGGCGAAGCCGCACTTGTAGACGCCGTTGTTGATGGTGTCGTAGACCCAGGCGTTCATGGCGTCGATCTGGGGGCGGAGGTGGTCCGGGAGGAGGGCGGCGGGGCCCTTGGCGGCTTCGCGGCGGTCCGGGGGCAGGAGGTGGTCGAAGGCCGAGTAGAGGATGCGGATGATTTCGCTCGACTCGTTGTTGACGACGAGGTTGCGGTGCGAGTCCCACAGGGTGGGGACCGTCACGCGGCCTTCGTACTGGGGGTCGGCGCGGAGGTAGAGCTCGCGGAGGTACTTTGCGCGACGTCGTTTGGCTTCCTGTCAGCAATGGCGGGGCATTGGTGATGGGCGGTGGTGGGTTTGTCAACACACCTTGCACCCGGTCACGGGATCCCTGTCGGGTCCGCCGTTCTGGCCGGAGAAGAACCAGCCCTTGCCGGCGGAGCGGTCCATGTCGTCGACTTCGACGAGGCGGATGACGTCGTCGAGGCCCTTGAGGGTGCGCACGATGTTGGCGCGGTGGGCCCACGGGCAGCCGTAGTTGATGTACAGGACATAGCGGTGGCCGCCCTCGGCGGGGAACTGTTCGGAGGGGATGAAGTTGCGGAACTTGGAGGCCTGGCGTCTGAAGGTGCCGTCTTCGTCGGCTTGGCGGGGGCCGTCTCTGGTCTGCGCAGTGAGAGATTAATAATTGCCATGTCTTGCGCAAGGGCTGGGGTGAGATGGCACCATGGTCGCGGGTGGTTGCGGTTGTCAGGTTTTGCAATGCGTTGGCAGCAGCAGCAGCAGCAGCAGCTTTTGCAGCAGTGGCAGAGTAGAGAAAGGCGGGATCAGAGGTGTTGGCAAAGGCAGAGAGGGCGGAGGGATTATTATCAATTGTAGTTAACAATAGTCGACCGGACGAGATGAGCCGGACAGCGCGGCCTTTGGCTGGTGCCGAACGCCGAGCTGCGGAGGCTTACTGTGTACGTAGGGCGAGCCTCTCCCTTGGCACTGCCGAGTGAATAGCAGGCGATCCTGGCGCCCCCTCAGCGGGCGGGGGCGCAGGGCTGACAGGGCAGGAGGGTTGGCGGGATGAGGGCGGGATGAGGGGTCGAGGGCGGTTGCGATAGACGATAAACCGGCCATGCCCCGCGCCTGGCTCTGCCTGGCACGCTGGGTCTGCCTGGTGCCGTGCTGGGCTCCCGAGGAACGAGGAACGGACCCTCGATGGGGTCCCGAGCCGGTCCGGACCTCCGAATAATACTTGACACTCATATTTGCAGAAGACGCGCGAAGAGATACATATCCGATGCCGCATCCGTCAAAGCTCCATGGTGAAGCTCTCTCCCGCCTCGGTCGGGCGGCCTTCGGTGACATGGGCCTTCCTGGCCTTGAGGTCGCAGACGATGTTGAACAGCGACTCGGACGCCTTTGCGGCGACGGCCTTGCGGTTGATGCTCGTGGGGAAGCCTTGCTCGTCCTTGAAGAGGCCGCGCACCTCTTCGACCGACGCGTCGGCGCCGGGCAGGGCCTCGCTCAGCTGGCGGATGCGGCGCACGCGCGGGATGCTGTCGGGCAGGTAGACCGTGTCCTTGACGGCGGGGTGGTCGACGAGGTAGTGGTTGCTGTGGTAGATGCGGCGCGGCTGGGCTGCTCCCTCTTCTGCGGCGAACAGCTTCTGCACGTCGGTCGCGCTCCACTCGAGGCAGACGGCGGGCGAGTCGGCATCCGCAACGCTGATGGTGCACGACGACGCCACGCCGTGCCGGTCCAGCGCCTGCACCGCCTGGTCGCGTGACGGCGACTCGAGCACGCAGCGCAGCGCGAGGTGGCACGGCATGCGCGTTGGGTCCATGCCCACGGCGCGGATGGCGTTGAGCGTGCAGCCCACGCCTGCGCTGTTGATGCCGATCTTGCCGATGATGCCCGCCTCGGTGACCATCTTGATGGCGGGCAGGCTGCTGGCGGCGTTGGCCGCGATGCTGAGGGCGATCAGGTTGGGGCGCTGCTCGGGCCGCCAGTCCCAGTTCTGGGCGATGATGGCGGTTTGGGGCGAGTGCCAGGCCAGCATGGTGCAGCCGTCAGTGAACAGCCCGAAGGCGATCTCGGTGCGCACGTTCAGCGCGAGCACGTCGGCCAGCTCGACCCCCGCCCCGTCCGCGATGCCGCGCATTTCCTCGAGATAGGCCGGCCATTTGCGGAGCACCATTGCTTCGAACTCGAGCGCCGTCGAGCGCACCTGCGGCCAGTCGAGCTTGGCCGTTTCCTTGAAGAGCATGGCATAGAAGGCGATGCTGCCCTCGACCTGGCTACGGGCCAGACTGCCGTGCGTGCGCCCAATCTGGGAATTAAGCGCGTCAGTAGTGTATGAGAGATTTGTTCAGAAGCTGAAGACTTGCCTCGTACGGTGTGCCTGAGCAATGTACCTGCAGCATCTTGAGCTTCGTTTATCGTTGTCTTTTTTGATCCTGGGGGACGAGGCGTGGCTGAAATATAATAATACAGAGCATCCATAGATTGCGCCGGCGGCAGAAGGAACAGGTTGCCGGAATACCCCACCTATGCCAGCTCGGCCGCCTTGGGCAGTCGCCGACGTACAACTGACGGACAAACGCTGGTAATGTAACTTAGCACATAAACCCCCGCTCGTTGCATTCCTCGTTGGGAAGCGGGGTTCTTCGCCCGCGCCGCCTGATCGACGCCATGTAGAAATATAACAACCAACACCAATGGCCGACTTCTACGTGTCCGTGCAACAGCTTGCCCTGGGCCGCAGAATGAGCAGAAAACGCGTGCTCGTCGGATATGGAAGCAAGTGCTGGCCTGCCCCATTCGCTATGCAGCGAGCTAACTCGTACGCAGTCGACGTCGACGCCGTTGCCAACTGGTATGTGAGCAGCAGCATCCACAAACTCAACATTGACGTCCGTCTTCAGGATCAACACGGGCGATGGCTCCAAGCAAAACCCCACCAACGTCTCCCGCGGCATCTTCGGCGCCACCGTAGGCGTTGACCGCCTGCTCCGCCTCTGGGACAAGTACCACATCAAGGCGACGTGGTTCAGCCCCGCCCACACGGTCGAGTCGTTTCCGGACCAGATGGCCAAGATCCGAGACGCAGGCCACGAGATCGGTCTGCACGGCTACACTCACGAGTACGTACCCTTCTCCCCCATCCCTTTTTCCTCCTCCTCTTCCTCCTCCTCTTCCTCCTCCTCCTCCTGCCGATATATGATAACAAAAACTCCCCCTGATCCCTCCCCTCCTCCAGACACCCCTTCCACCTCACCCCGCAACAGCAGCACGCCGTCCTCGCCAAATCCGTCGCCGTGCTGACGGCCTTCACGGGCAAGAAGCCCGCGGGCTACACGGCGCCGGCGTGGCAGGCGAGCGACGAGCTGATCCCGCTGCTGCACCGCTTCGGCATCGAGTACGACCACAGCTTCATGCACCACGACCTGCAGCCGTACTGGGCCCCCGACGGCGCCGGCGGCGGCGGCGGCGGCCACACCTGGGTCGAGACGGACCGCGCCAAGGAGGCCGAGCACTGGATGCGGCCGATGAGCAAGATACGGCCGAGCGGCGTGGTGGAGATTCCGGCGAATTGGCATTTGGTGAGTGGGCTGAGTTGAGGGGGGATGTGAGGGGCGGCGGGGGGAGAGAGAGAGGAAGAGTTGATTTTTTTTCTCTTTTTCTTTTTTTTCGAATCTGTGTCTGACGAGAGAGGGGGGAATGGCAGGATGACTGGCCACCCTTGCAGCCGATGCTTGCGACCATGTCGGTAGGTGTTGTGCATTGTCGGGAGCCCGAGACATTGGCTTACTCTTACTCCCCCATCAAAAGGGCTTCGTTGATACGGCCGTCGTGGAGAAGCTGTGGCGCGAGCAGTTCGACTTCGCATACCGCGAGTACGACAGCTTCATCTTCCCCATGTCCATCCATCCGCAAGTCAGCGGGAAGCCGCAGGTCATCTTGATGCATGAACGGTGAGTTTCAGGAAACAAAGGATGAAGCGCTATGGCCGTGTTAATTCCAATGCCAGCCTCATCGAATACATCAACAGGCATGAGGGTGTCGAGTGGATGACCTTCGGCCAGATGGCAACCGAATTCAAAGAGGGGCGGATCCCTGGCGCCGTGGTTGAGGGCGGCGTGGATGTCTAGGTCTGTGCCGGTCTTGAGCCTGCACAGCGGGTGCAACAAGAAACTGTGTATGTAGGCAGTCGAAGCAGATATCTCAGCGTAGATGTAAATACATCTAGATTGAACCATGTAGGTGGGTTAATTCTGTCCCCACCGTGATGCACCGTCTGAACTGAAAGTGGAATCGCAGTCATTAAAGCCTGAGATGACATGTTGAGTTGTAGATATCTTCCCACTAACCTTTGAGTACCATAAAACGCCATTGCTTTCAGTAAAGAGGTTTTCCAGCTCGCGCTCACATCTTATTTGTAGACAAGAACCACCCCTACGAACCGCCAGACACAATTAGCCGACTACTCGCTGGATAACCTTCCAGATGCGTCCGAAACGAGTGAGCCAGAACGATGCACGGCGAAGAAGGCCGTGGCACACAAAAACCGAAGACGCCAGCACCTTTTTATTAAATCCAGCTTTACTCTCTCAGCCCAGACCGCCCCAGGCACCGCGGATTCGCCTGGCGAGCTGGATGTCCTTCTGCATGATGGTGACACGCTTGGCGTGGATGGCGCAGAGGTTGGTGTCTTCGAACAGGTGGACCAGGAATGCTTCGGCGGCCTCTTGCAACGCCTGAATGGCCTGGGACTGCCAGCGGAGGACTGAGCCGTCGTCGGGGCGCAGGTTGAGCGCAATCTCACGGACCTGGGTAGCGCGCGTGTCAGATGGTCGTCCAGAGAAGAGACCAGGGATAGCAGCATACCAGACGAGCGAAAGGAAGCTTCAGAAGCAGCAGATCGGTGCTGCGCTGGTAGCGCCTGATCTCTTTCAGAGCCATGGTGCCGGGCTTGTGGCGGTACCTCTTCCTGCTCGGTGTGGGGTCGCCGGCTGCGCGAACGAGCGGTCAGCGATCAAGATTCGACAGCATGCGCAAGCCAACGACTGACCGGAAACACCAGACGACCTGGGGCCTCTCTTTGCTGGAGTAGCTTGCGAGGCCAATGACGGCCGGCCCCTCGACTTTCCTCCTGTGGACGGACGCCCTCCCCGGGACGGACGCGTCTTTTGCTTTGTTCCGGCCATTGTATGCGACGCGATGCGGGGAGGTTATTTGGCAGATACGGGTGCGAGACGCGATGTGCGAGCTATGCCGTGATCATGAGTCGCGAGTGCGGCGGCGGGCAATGCAATGCCAGAGCGGACGGGGCGGGGCGCGAGAGCGTGAGCGCGCCCGGGAGCTGGACGAAGCGGAGACGAAGACGCGGGCTGGGGCGGGACAGTTTGCTGCGGGCGCAATGCGGTGGAGATGGATGTGGGATGCACGAGGCGACGCGACTTGGGCGAACAAGCGCGTTGTTGTTCGGCTCGAGTCTCTTAGCGGCAACCGTACGTATGTAGCAGGCCCGCCCGCCTGTGCGCCCGCAGCCATTATCTAATCGCCGCCCCAAGCTCCGCATCCGCGCAATAGTCCACGTTTGCCCTTGACTCTCTCCCTCTCTCTCTCTCTCTTTCTCTCGCCTTTACTCGCTCCCACCAACCGCACCGCCAGTCTTTCGTTCGCCTTCCGCCCGCGCTGTACCGACTGCCTATTGCTCCGCGCATTCTTTCCCGCACTCGCTCTACCACCCGCGCCGTCCCAGGCATCATGGCCGCCGTGCTCGGAGGTGGTGATGGCATGGTGGGCCAGCTGCCGCTCGAACAATGGTTTTACGAGCTGCCCGTGTGCACCCGCTGGTGGACCACCGTCACCGTTGTACTCAGCGTGCTGGTCCAGTGCCACGTTATCTCGCCCTTCCAGCTGTTCTACAGCTACCGCGCTGTCATCTACAAGCACCAGGTGCGCCTCAGCCGCAAACCCCACCTTCCCAGCAATGCTAATCGCCCAGCAGTGGTGGCGCGCAGTCTCGACATTCTTCTACTTCGGTCCCCTGAGCCTCGACCTCCTCTTTCACGTATTCTTTCTCCAGCGCTACTCGCGCCTCCTCGAAGAAGGCTTCGGCCGCTCGCCCGCCCACTTCTCATGGCTCCTGGCCTACGCCTCGGCCGTGCTGCTCGTCGTCGCTCCCATGTTCTCCATGGGCTTCCTCGGCTCCGCCCTCAACAGCACCCTGGTCTACATCTGGAGCCGCAAGAATCCAGACACCAGCCTAAGCTTCCTCGGTCTGGTCGTCTTCAAGGCGCCTTTCCTGCCGTGGGTGCTCGCCCTCTTCAGCATGGTCTTGCACGGGACCGTTCCCAAGGATGACATGCTCGGCATCGTTGTCGGACACGGTATGTCTGCTCCAAGCAGCCCCCCGGTGCCAATGCTAACGCCGTAACAGTGTGGTATTTCTTCAACGACGTTTACCCGCCCATGAATCACGGCCAGCGCCCTCTTGATCCCCCTTCCTGGTGGGTTCGTCTTTGGGAGGGTCGTCCGGCGGCTGAGGAAACGGCTGCCGAGGTGATTGATCGCGACATCGCCGCCGTGCCCACTCCGGAACTGAGATAGGCATGTTCCAAGAAGGCGTTTTTGGCAATGGGCTGTGGTGGCCTTTGAGAGATACCCGGCGCCACGGAATTTGTGGGTTTACGGCGTTGCTGGGTACCTTCCGGAGTTCGGGATCTGGGGAGACTTAGTATTCTCCGTGTACATAGGTAATGGATCCTTGACATTATTTGGCTAATGCGCCTCGATTCTAGACGTGTGGCTTGCTGAACGGCGCCTTGGCAGCGCGAGGCTGAGGGCTGGCTCTTTCACATGCCAAACAACCTCCCAGCCTACCCCAACCATGTTGACTTAGTACATGCCTGCGTCGCAACTACTACTTTGTCGCCTACGAGTGAATCATCCCGCATGCGGGCTGCAGAGTATGAGACACTTCCGGTAGCCTCAGGCCAGGTGAGCGAACGTCGCATTTCTGTTTCCTTCGCCCATTCACCGGCACGTGCGTGTTCTGTCGGGGAATCTGTCTGCAACCAAGCAAAGCTACAGGAGTCCAGTCGCTGTCCCGATGTTGAATGAATCCTGATACTGAAGTGTGGGCCTTGGTCATCGAGGCCAGTCATCACACGGTCGTCGGCCTTCGATCCCAAAACGGCCCTCATCGTCGCCCAAGTATGGGCGATGCAAGTCATCGTTCGTTGATGATAAGAAATGCTAGGGCAATCTGATGGCAGACGGGTTGAGTGGGGAAGGTCGTGTGCGCCAAAGCCGAGCGGGTGACAAGAATGCAACGGCTGCACGTCACCGAAACACGCAATCTCCACCAGACTTCGGCCAGGTAAATACCAGCAATGTCAGACACGGTCCGCCGCCCTAGACGATGCAGCAAGCGCCTAGACCTCGACCTCTTCTATGAAGCGCTCCGGAGCCGCAGCGACGTGCAGCTTATTAAGCGCTGGGTACCTTGCAGCGCTACCAGCCACATGCAAGCTATGACGGCGGACACATCCGTCAGTTGATCGGGGCATTCGTGTGGACGTCTCGGTGTTGAGGAGCAAATAGGAAGGTATCAGCGCATCCCTGTCGGACCTCAGCATGGTTGCCGCCAATCCCACCCCACTGGCTCCTCACCAACGCGTGTCGACCATACCATGTGCCCGGCACTCCTGGTAGGTGGTTTTTCCTGTACGTACGCTGGCAGAAGTCATCCCGGCTCCCGGATGCTTGCGTGTAACCTCCTCGGTCGCATCTGCCGAAGAAGCAATATGCACCTTGTCGTCTCCAACTCCTTCCAGACACGTTCAAGCTACATACGGCCATGAAAAATATGCTTAGCCCTGCACGCAGCCGGTTTCTTGTTTCCTTGCTTCGCTGTTGGCCAGATCTTGCCCGACTGGAAACGTCTTTTATTTCCAAGCCGCCCCTGCGGACTGTCTTGCACATGGACTCGAAAAGACCAACCTCTCCCTGCGCCTTGTGGTTGACGCCGGCGAGAGCACAATGCGCCCAGGCCAACATGGGGCTTGATTGGATGAGACTGCCTTGTGCCACATCATGCCCCCAATCTTTGTTTCTTCTCTCTAATCGTGCCCATACGTAATCGTCCCCGCAGAACAAGCCACAGTTCCCATTCCACCCCAAATGGGCAATTACTTCAAACTTAATCTGGAGAGCCCGACAGACGCCACACTCCTCGCTGCTCCAGAACCTGTCCAACTCCCTCCTGGTTGGCACAACACATTCTCGGCTCTTGGAGAGAGGCAAACCTCGCTCCCCCGTCAGTTTGCTTTTGCGCCTGACGTCTGTGTCGCCCTGCCATCGTCGCGCTTTTTGACCAGTACCTCGGGCCACCGCCCCCTTCCGCACGAGATCGCATCATGCTTCTTCCAGCAGAGACACCGGCTTTGAAACACGGCCGTCTCGAACCGCTCGCCCTGCCCTCCTCGGCAATGTTGGACCGGGCCGCCTTCTCGTGCCGCGGCGCGCGTGTCACGCAACTTGTTCAGACTACCCGGCGCCCGGGTTCCCTGAGCCCGCTGTCACCTGCTGCATGGCTGGGGTGGCTTTCCGGGAATGGGAAGTCGGCTGCGCTTGTGGCCATGGCAAGCCTCCCCCTTCATGCTTTGCTGCCAACACGACACCCAGTTGGGCCCTTTTGCAGATGGTTCAGGCCACGAGGCCGTCATGACGATTGTTACTGTTGTAGTTGGGCGCAGGTGTTTTTGCCGTTGCTGGCGGTGGCACAGATCACGGCGGCCCTGTCCCTGCTGATGTGTTGGATATAAAGTCCTCGTCGCAGTCTAACTGTGCATTGGTACCCTGACGTCTTTGTTCCTCGGTTTTTGGATTTGCTGGAACTGTGAGGTTGCGAAACTCGACACAAGTTTCCAGCATGCCTTCGACGACTGCTCTGGCCTCACTCGCAGTGGGCCTTGCTGCCCTGCAGGGTGTTCAGGCTGGGTTTGACAATACATCCAGCTCCAACGTCGCTGTCTATTGGGGTTGGTACTTGCTCACATTTCTTCGATGACTTCTTCGTTGACAGCATACAGGTCAGAATTCCTACGGCCAATCGAGCGGGAACCTTACTCAGCAGAGGCTTGCCTACTACTGCAACAGTACGCCCACCTCTGCAACCAGTGATACATAGTGCTGACAGAAACGTGCTCAGACACTGACATCGATGTAACAACCCCGGCGTCTTCGCACGCAGACATATGCTCACACAACGCGCAGATTATCCCTCTGGCCTTCATGACCGCAATCTCCGACTCCACCGGCCACCCTCAACTCAACTTTGCCAACCAGGGTGACAAGTGCAGCACGTTCAACGGCACCCAACTGTTGAACTGTCCCGAGCTAGCGTAAGTCATACACACACACTCTCTCTCTCTCTCCAACCAAATAAACTGACCCCACCCGCTCCCTCCCTCCCGCCATAACAGAACCGACATCCCGCTCTGCCAACAAACCTACAACAAGACCATCCTCCTCTCCATCGGCGGCGCCACCTACACCGAAGGCGGCTTCGCCACCGCCGACGCCGCCGTCACCGCCGCCGACATGATCTGGGCGGCCTTCGGCCCACCCCCCACCAACACCACCAACACCACGACGACGACCCTCCGCCCCTTCGGCGCCGCCCAAGTCGACGGCTTCGACTTCGACTTCGAGTCCACCGTCAGCAACATCTCGCCCTTTGCGGCGCGGCTGCGCACGTTGATGGATACCGTCGAAGCGGGCGACGGCCGCCACCGCCTCCTCACCGCCGCCCCGCAGTGCCCGTACCCGGACGCGGCGGACGACGCGTTCCTCAGCGGGACGGGGGCGGTCCCCATGGACGCCGTCTTCGTGCAGTTCTACAACAACTACTGCGGCGTGCAGAGCTTCGTGCCGGGCGCCGCGGAGCAGAACAACTTCAACTACGCGACGTGGGACGAGTGGGCGCGGACGGAGGCGGCGAATGCGGGGGAGGTCAAGGTTTTCGTCGGGGTGCCGGGGGGGCAGGGCGCGGCGGGGTCGGGGTATCTCGCGGCGGGGGAGTTGGAGCCCGTGTTGGAGTTTGTGGGGGGGGGTTATGGGGCGTCGTTTGGGGGCGTGATGGTGTGGGATGCGTCGCAGGCGGTGGCGAATGGGGGGTTTTTGGGGGAGGTGAAGGGGGAGTTGGTGGCGTTGGAGGGGGGGGAGGCGGAGGCGGAGGCGGAGGTTGAGGTTGAGGTTTGTGGTGGCGGGTATGGTGGCCGGACTGCGTGGAGAGGGGTTGAGTTTCGGGCTTGAGCGAGGACGTGAGGAGGGGTGGTGGGCTGGGTCTGGAGGTGGATGGGGCGAGGGGAGGAGATGCAGTAGAGCGGGTTTCTGATGAACGGTCGACACGGATGATTGGGTATGGGTTTTCATGGCAGATGGCTGCATCGGTTCGGCTGGCTGGATTTATCGTTGGTATGGTTTAGGGCCGTCTTTCGTTCGTGCGTGCACCCGCATTCCGTATAGAGTAGAGCTCCGGTGTCTCGTTTCCCATAGTAGACAATTCTCACCGCCATGGTTGGATACGAAATAAAGTAGGCCGTACAGTCACTTCACATGGGTAGCGGAATCCTATGACCTTTTGCGATCACCAACTAATAGTAGGTTTTAGTTGTTAAATACTTGCACACGTTTGGGAATGGAAATTCGTTTAGGTAGTAATCTGTAAGCCTTCAAGGCACGAAGGCTGAATAGGAAGTTCACTGCTGGATAACAACAAGGGTTGAGTTGGTGGAATTGCGATGCAGGTATTTGATTCGATCCCACCATGAGTCGTGGCGCTCAGCCTCCATTCCAATCTGAAAGGCGCCGGGCCTACCCGCGTAAGTGTTCCAACTATCTATTATGACGCCCTCTCTATAAAGCCTACTAGGAACTTGGAAGGAGATGAGGTAATTTCAATAAAGGCAAAAACATCAGCCCTATCTGGCGCGCATTGCCGGCGATAAGCTCTTGCTTACCCATCGTCTTGTTTCAATGACGTTGTCAATCACCGTCTTCTCCTTGTCATCTTCCATCGTCCAAGGAGTGTGTTCTGCTTCTCTTGCGTGCTCTTTCTTCTGTGATACCATCCATCTCCAGTATATCAAAAACACAAAACCAGTCAGGACGCCTGCAACGAGGAAAAAGAGGTATATCCGAGGCGAGACGACTCCGCTCATTTCAGAGGAATCCCACTTGAAAAGTGACATGTCAAAGCAGGCGGCCACAAACGTAGCCGGGAGGAATGCCATCGATACCGTAGCAAGCGCTTTCATCGAAAAGGTTTCCTGATGGCTGGAACTCGCAATACGGTTGGAAACTTCTGTCTGGGCGAGCACGGTCAAGTTATCCAAGTGATCGATGAGGCTCTCAATCTATTCCAACCGACGGTATTCTTAGTCTCTGCTATGATTACAGAATGAGAGGGAAAGGTTGTAGTTACTTACAACTTGAGTCTGCAACTGGACTCGCTGCTGAAGATACTCCACTCTGTTGTGCTGTTCCTGGGTACGGCTCTCAAGCAGTGCAATTACACTGCGGAGCCGACCGTAGCTCTCACGTCGTGCATTGAACCAGTCGTTTTGTCTTCCGGTGCAGTCTCCCGGCGGTCCACCCTCATCCTCGGCTGTCCCTTTGTCCTCGCTATCGTCATGGGGCTTATGATGGTCATCAGTAAGCGCTTCTGTGGATACTGAGCTATCCAATTGCTCTGAGACGAAGTAGTGGAGATTTTTGATGATCCTCAACTTCCACAGAGAAGAAACCGCCTTCGTAGACATAGCACCAGTCTTCTGCAACAGAGCTTCCAACCCATTCGGCGCCAGCTTTGTAAGGTCAGTGTTCCACCCATGAACCCCTGTCCGGTATTCAATACCCTGGATATCTTCATTGATCTTGGTCAATGCTTGATCAACTTGTAAGCCAATCATAGTACTACAAAGAAAGGCAATGAACATGTCTTGGTCCAACATTCTCCAATTTCGATCCAGAAGAAGTTGAAACGACTTGATGTGGTCCTCCACCGTGAAGAATATGGCCTGGATGGTGTTCGACTCAGGCTCGCGTGCCCAGATTGCCGCCGTCTTTGGTCGGAGGCTGAATGCGTATTGAGATGGGATGCGTGAGCCATTGTACTGAGAGAACTCCGTCACGCCGGCAGCGGATGTTCCGTAGTACTTGTATGCCAGGTTGAGTTCGAAGGAATTCACTACGGTATTTATTTGGCTGGCCGACATGTAGTGCACGTGCTCGTTTGTGTCAATTTTGACCCACACAATTCGTAGTGAGCATCGGGAGAGGAACGGGGACGGTTTCTTTGGGTCCGGTCTGGTCGTGTTTAGCCATTGCTTGAGATTGTGGGCGTCGATCGTCGTGTGTTTGACAGTAGGCTCGCCTGCAGAATCGATACTCTCCCATATTTCGGAGATTTCGATGCGATCGGCCTCGATGGGATCGGCCTTCTCCCAGACCTGAGCATGTTTCTGAAAATGATTGACAAGTTCCTCCATGGATGGCTGAATGATGCCAGGGAAACGGGGAGAAACCTGCAGAAGAGACATGTTAATACTTTTAGTAACCTATAGCTTTTATATGCCGGAGTCTCCCAGCCTCGTCGACAGGCAGAAATTTTCCATTAAGCCTTGCGATGTAAGGCGTACTCGGTGGCTAATAAGCCCCGAAGGCAGCGGATGCCTAAAAACATCTCGTGCTTATTCGTTCTTTTGGCGAAGAAAGTAGCGATAGGCTTACACGCCATGTGGACGAAAGCGGAAAGCCGAGGAAGTACTAAAGTAGTAAGCCGGGTAAGCAGCCATGTAGAGCGAGGTGCAGCTCGGGCGCCATTTCGGGCGCCCTCAGCCTCGCGCACGCCCGCAGCGACGGGAAAGTGCCAAACGGGTCCTACTAGAGTCGGTTAAGCCTATATATATACTCTCTACTGCTATAAGCAACTAAACAACGACAGTAATAGCCGAATAACTAAAACAATAACAATAGCCCTACTCCTTACCTACGAATTATAAATGTGTGCAAAGCCCTGTTTACAAGAGAATTGTCGCACTTAGAAAAAAGCTGCAGCGCCGTACTTGTTTCTCAAGAATATTTCCTTTTTGTCTTTTACCCATTATTACAAGCGCTCGAGAACCCACACCTCTCCCCCCAAAGAAAAAGGTTTACCCTTACTCCAAATCATACCGTACCGTTACACCCTAAAGCCCAATCATAACAAACCACCCCAGCACAGAAACCGAAAGCGACCCAACCACCCCAACCCAGCCGCCACACCTCGCGCTGCCTGCCGCCGCCGCACCAGTGGCACTGGCAGAGGCACTGGCAGAGGCAGCAGCCACGTCGGAGCTCTAATAAACGGAAGTCAGATAACGCAGAAGACGACAACAGGGAGACAACAGCGGGGGGCACTCACAGCCGCAGAAGAAGCGGACGCGGTAGTAGTAGTAGTAGCAGCGGTAGCAGCAGCAGTAGTAGAAGAGCCCGAATCCGAAGCCGCCGCCGTCGCCGCCGCACTACCGGTCGTCGCCGCAGTCGAGGATGAAGAGCTTCCAACAGAAGCAGTGCCGGTAGCAGAGGCAGAGGCAGAGGCGGAGGCAGATGCGGAGCCCGAAGCGGCGGAGGCGGTGGAGGCGGCAGACGTGGCGGTGATGGCGGCCGAGACGGCGGGCTGGGTGCCGGTGGCCGGGGTGGTAGACAGGCCGCAGTCGGCGGCGACGCTGGTCAGGCTGCCGCCGTAGTACCTCCAGATGTCTTCATTGGCGGGGCCGGCGCACTGGAGGCAGGCGGCGTAGTCGTGGGTGAAGGTGGAGTCGTTGCAGGGGTCGGTGCCGCGGCTGGCTTTGATTGCTTGGCCTAGGGGATTCTTGTTGGTGTGCTGGTTCGAGGGTCGAGGGAGATGTGGGATGGTTTAATACGTACCGCAGTTGTCGTGGCAGTTGTATTCGGCTTCGGACATGTCGTCCTGGCGCTTGGTGAGGAGGTCGAGCGGCCAGTCTGGGTCGAATGTGAGGCCGGAGGCGGCGGTGACGGCGAGGGCGCCGAGGGCGAGGCACCGTATGGGAAGCATTGCGGGAATTGGTGAGGGAGGATGTATATCGCCGGGTGGTGACGAGGTTGGTCGGGATCGGACATGGTCGGGGCTGATTGACGATTTATAGATGATTTACTAGCAGCTCGGACCTAAGCCAGAGCCGACATGACCGACCCGAACGGCCAAGCAGAGTGTGGAGAGTGGCATGACGGTCCGGGCTTGGGTTGCAGTGGCGCATCAGAGCAACCAAGAGACATGACTCTGCGCGGGTGCGGAGTTGGACGAGTGGAGGTGGTGGAGCGGGCTCGGCGACGATATCGGCTGATCAGAGTTTTGATCTTATCAGATGATCTAATAAGATCCCGTCCAATCAGTCGCTCGCCCGCCGTCCTGGCCCCGTTTTCACAAGCCAGACGGGGGCGTCCGTCTCATGCCTGTGCATTGTTAGCGCGCGCGCTCGCAGCCTAGGCAGAGAGCAGGTTCTGGGCGGGGACGAGGGTTGGACAGTGGTCCCATACCCAAGCCAACGCCAGCAGCAGCCGGAAATGCTAAGCGAAGCAGCCAATCACCACCACTCACGCTCAATTCCAGTGACCCAGTGCGACGTCTGCCAACACCGCCAGACTGCACCATGCCGTCCTGCAAGGGTGAGCGAGCCGGCCCAGCCAAGGTCGCAATCGGCAGGGAAGACGCTCTCCCGCCGGCGTGCTCCGGCCCACTCCTCGCCCAGACCTCACCACTTCCATCTATATATCCCCCCATCACTTCCGTCAGAATTACCATTTCACCACCCAAACGAGTGCCCATCGTCACCATGTTCTCGACCACCCACGTTGCGACCGCTCTGCTGGCCGGCTGCGCTCTGGCCGCCGCCGCCGAAGTCCACGGTGCCGGAGCCGAGGGATCAATCATGGGTCCCGTCGCATTCCTCTGGCCATCCGACCGCGTGTGGGATGCGTCGCAGGACAACACCGCCCCGTGCGGCACCAGCGCCGGCGTGACCAACAGGACTGAGTTCCCGCTGGGTAGGCCCAAGACTCAAAAACAACAACACCAACAACACTGACCAAAAACTCCCCTCAGACCAGGGCTCCGTTGCTCTGACCATCGCCGACGATGCCTGGAACGTCGAGTTCCACATCGCCATCGGGAACGGTACCTTCTCGCCCGCCCTCGAATCCGCCATATACCCCGCTCGCTGACACGACAAAACCACCAGATCCCACCAGCGAGACCGACTTCTCCACCCAAGTCGTCGCCAACGTCTCATCCGTCGAGCCCGGCCACCAGTGCTATAAGCTGGAAGACCTGCCAGACACCGCCGCCGCCGGCACCAACGCCACCATCCAGCTGGAGTACTGGTCGAGCTACGAGGACGGGAAGAACGAGACGTTTTACGCCTGCGCCGACGTTGTAAGTCCGCGTGCATCCGAGCCCAAGCCCAAGCCCAAGCCCAAGCCAATTCCTAAACGCTCTCTCTCTCCTTCTCTCTCTCCATCTCCCTCCTTCTCCTCCCTCTCCCTCTCTCATCCATCCCCCCTCCCTACACCTCCAAGTCCGCCCACCAACTAACCCACCATCCCCCCTCCACAGACCTTCGTGACAGCATCCACCTTCTCCGCCCAAGTCCCCTGCTTCAACGTCACGGCGTCAGACTTCGACACCGGTTCGGATGGTTCCTCTTCCTCCTCCTCCTCTTCTTCCTCCTCCTCATCCACCGCCACCACCACCTCTTCTACCTCTTCTACCTCCTCCTCTTCCTCATCATCAACCACCCTCTCCGCCTCCGACAAAGCCGGCATAGCCATCGGGTCCATCCTCGGCGGCCTGTCGGTCGTCGGCGCCGCCGTCTTCGCCTGGCTGTACCGCAGGCGGAGGGCTGCGGCGGCGAAGAGGGCTGATGGCGATGCTGATGGTGCTGCTGCGATGAAGGAGGTGGAGTGAGGGGAGTGGGGGGAGTGGGGGGAGTGGTACTATGGGATCGATGGGTCGGGTGTGGTGAGGTGAGGTCGGATGAGGTGGGTGGGTGGGTAGGTGGGTAGAGCGGACGACTGACTGACTGATGGATGGTGGGCGGGCGGGCTGAATCAATTGTTTTTTTTTTTCTTTTTGACGATGAGGTACGATCTGCTCATATGAACTGATGAATCCTAGTTTCCTTCTTTTCTTTTTTTTGCCTGCTGAAAATACCTACGTAATTGTAGATATAAACACCCTTTCTTCGTAGGCAACTGAAGTCGATGTCTGGATGTAGATAATAGATTCCACTGCGCATGTAGATGGATTAGTTTTTCGCCACCCACTGTGCGGCGGTCATCACTGATCTTCCAAAACGCGACCAGAAGTAGATAATATGCACTTTTACTTTTTGTTTGGTCTTCCTGACAAATACTTACAAGGACCCATCTCATCGGGGCTGCAAACCCACCCGAAAACCCGCCTATGCCGTATCCGCAGCTTCTGCTACCTGCTGGTCTTCCCCTCCGACCTTGGCCTTCTTAGCCTCATGCCCCTCCTCGGCCGTACTCTCCGCCTTCTCTTCCACAGCCACCCTCTTCTTCTTGGTGAACTTCCCTCGCGCCTCCACCTTGCCTCCTGCCGGCATGACCCTGGTCGCAGAGAAGACGTAGCCTTCCGGCCCACCTCTGCTCGTCATCATGGGATGCGTGCGGCCCGGCAAGACCTGCCAGGCGCGCACTCTCGACGTCTGCAGCACGGGGGCGAGCAAGAGCGTGGGGTTGAGCGGGAAATCGTCTTCAAACTCCCTGCGCTCCTCCTCCGTCGCCGTGTCCGGGTCGAAAGGCTTGGCGTTGGTCTTGGGGTTGATTGTGCGGTTGATGTATGCCGTCTTGCGCTCGCGGGAGTACAGGTCCATGAGCTCCGTGAGCGGCTCGATGGTCGGGCTGTAGACGACGACCTGGGCGCCGCCGCGCAGGAGGGGGAGGGTGTGCTTGAGGATGGTGGCGGGTGCCATGAATGAGGAGACGATCAGACCGTCGAAGCCGCCGGCGCGGGTTTCGTCGACGACGCGCTTGGTGCGCTCCCACCGGCGCCGCTTGCGCCAGTATGTGCCGCGCTTGCCTGATTTCCATGTCGCCAGAGTCTCTGGCGTGGCCGAGTCAGGTTCTGCGTAGGCGACATCATCTTCCGGGGCGATGAGCTGGAGCCAGGAGAGCGTCTTCAGGTGTGAGTAGAGAGGATGTGTGGTGGCTGGTGTTGCTGATGCGGCGTCGTATCCAAAGTATTTGAGGAGGGCGACGTTCGGTTGGGCGTGAGCATGGAGAAGAGTAAGGGTGTTGACTGATGCGGACTGGGCTGGGACGGCTTTTGCATTCAAGCGCGCAGGGAACGATCTCGGTTTTTGTGCAGTGCCATCAGCCGCTTCGTCCGCTGGCTGGTCCTCCTGCTGGTTCTCGGCAGCCGGTGCATCAGCCATCTCTTGATCTTCGGGCTGAACGTCGTCCTCTTCCGAGCTGTCGTCGAACTCGTCCTCTTCCGGCGGATGCAGAATGCCCATCTTCTCAGCAAGAGATGCCACGACCAGACCTCCGGTGTCGTCCACGACCAGCCAGCGGCCTCCTCCAACGAAGGCGCCCTCCTGCGTGTCGCTCGGTTGCAGCTCGCAGGCTCCGCCGTAATGGATATTTGCCCAGGCGCCGATCAAGCCTTGCGATTCCTCCCGCAAGTCCATGACGCGGTGGCCCTCGCGTTCGATCATGACTTCGCCAAGCATTGAGACGTCCATGGGCAGGACGGTGAAGCGCCTGAGATACTTCCTCGTCTTTCGCAGGGTATATTTGGCCAGCGAAAAGGCAGTCTTCTCATCAAGGGCCTTGTGCGCCGCCATGATCTTTGCGATAATCTCCTTGCCCGAGCCAGTGCCAGCCTTCTTGAGCTCCTCGATTTCCTCCATGGACAGGGTCTGGCGAGAGGGATCGTCGACGGTCAGGCGATTGCTGCGCATCAGGACCTCGCCGTTCTCGCCCACAATGTCGAACTCGGCGCTGGCGGGTTCGGCCGCATCGCCGTCTGGGGTCACATCGGGAGTGCCTTCGGTGGGGGGAGCATCCTCGGACTGTATTACATGCTCATGCAGCTCGGAAGCAGGCACGATGCGCAGTTCGGTCTCATCCTTGCCATCTTCCCGGTCAAGAATCTCGTACGTTACGTTGAAGGGCCGGCCGAGCAGGTGGTTTGCAGGAAAGGAGCCGAACTTGCCAATGGAAACGGTGCTGGCTAGGTCAGTGTCAGACGCCCGAGCGCGCAAGTGAAGGCTCACTCAGATCGATCGACCTACGTGTTGGGGACGACTTCGAGGACCTTGAGCAGGCCCGAGGGCAGGCGCAGCACGACGTAGCTATGCGGGCGGATGCGGGTATGCATGTTGGGGGGCTGTGCAGTGTTTCAGCGCGGCGAGCGATCAGGGCATGTCGCGGTGGCGGCGTGGGGACGCGATCAGCACCGAGGCGGCAGGAAGGGCAGTGGCGCAGCAGCGGGGGGGTGCTGAAGAGTCGCGGAGGGTGGTTGAATTATCTTTTGCGCGCGGCAGAATGACGCCGGGCGGTGAGGGCGGGCAGGGTCCAAGAATAGTCGCGGTCGCGGCCGCTGCACTTGGCGCCACCGCAAGCGTCCGGACGCACATGCACATCTACTTTGTGAAGAGCAGTGGTACTGGTCGAGCCAAGTGTCCGGGCGTAGAATGGACCGCCGAACCAAAAAGTCGGCCGTCCAAGCCCGTAGTCAGCGGCGCGAGAGGTGAATGCGGACCCCGGCGCGTTCGCCGAAGGTGTGGCGGTGCCTGTCGCGGCGTCGTCATCTTGGCCCCCGGAGCGACCAACCAACATCGCCGGTCCCCGGTGAAGCTACGCGTTTATAACCTCCAGGCTCCCACCTGTCGCTCCCCGCCGTAGCTCCCGCCGCCTCAGGGCTCGAATTTCGCACCGTCGCCTGCCGCCTTCCCCGTCGCCTTTGCCGCGCCCTGCCCACACCCAAAGCCGCCGACTGCACAGACCGCGACAGCCAGCCAGCTGCTTGCAGCCCCGGTCCAACGCCAATCCAGCCGCACCACGTCGAAGCCCGATCTTCAGGCACCGCCCCAACAGCCATGGTGCGCAAGCCGGAGCTTGTGCCGCCCCCGCTCTCCCAGGCTACCTACCATCCTCCCTATCCCACCACTCCGCCCGACGAGCACCCACCGCCACTTCCGCACGACGCCAACGGCTATCAATTTGTCTCGCACGAAGACGCCCGCCGCTCCGAGAGCGACGACGACATCAGCTCCTCCTCTGACTGGGACGAGCCCGACGACGACGATGAGGACCAGAAGGGCAACATTCCCGCGTCGCTGAGGCCTGGTGGCCATCGTCCGACCTCGTCCCAGCAGGCGAAGCCCGACGAGCTGCCCGCCTTGCTGAGGGTAGGGCCTCCGGGTGGCTCGCCCGCCCCGCGCATATCCATTGACTCGGAGGACGACAGAGCCAAGGCTGAGGAGAAGACCGACGAGAAGAAGCCCGACCCTCAGCCCTCAGTCTCGTCGCCCCCGCCTGCACTGGCCACGCCGCCTCCGCCTACCGCCTCGCCTCCGGCTGTTCCCGCTGTGTCGACGCCTCCGCCTGCGACGAACGTAGCATCGGAGTCCCCCGCGACTGCCGCGTCCGAGCGCCGGCCTACCATAACCCTCAAATCGCAGAACCCGTACCTGAACATCCAGTCTCAGTCGACGGGCGAAAGTGCAGAACAGGATGGCGTGCCCAAACCCTGGTCGCAACAAGAGTCGATCCCCCAGGAACCCATTGAGATGCCTTTGGACAACAGCACCCCAGTGGAGCAGTTTTCAAACATGTCTCTGGCAAACACGGCTGAGGACAAGGCGCAGTCACCGGGAGCTAAGCCTCTTCCGGGTCTTCCTGGAGATGTTGTCAAGCAGACAACCGCTGATGTCAGTCCGACCGCACCCACGGCAAATGCACAGCGCCATGACTCGGATGCTTCAAGCGTCTTCTACCCCGGCATGGACGTCTCCTCTCTGGACGGGCAGAGCTCGCGAACTCGTGGCCTTCCGGAAGACTCGGATGCTCAACCGAGGCGCACATGGCAGGAGCAACAGGCGTGGGAAAAGAGCGAAAGGGAGAGAAGAGAGCGTGAGGCCGCCGAGGCACAAGAGCGAGCTTTGCAGGAGGAGAGGGAGAGGCAAGCAGAAGAGGAGTGGCACAGAGGTGAGGCTGCCGCGAAGGCTGCTGCCCAGTCGCAGCCTCCCGCTCAGCCCGCCGCAGAGACTGCTCCACCGCTGCCTCCTCGGCCGGGAACGTCGTCGACTACCGCCGAACAGGCGCCATCGCGTTCGCAAAACATCAGCACCGCTGATGGTCCCGCCGGAGAGGAATCCCCAGACACAAGGCAGAGGAAGGAAAACTACTCTATCAAGCACATCCGATGGTTCGACAGTCATACCAACAACCTGCGCGAAGCCCCTGTTCTGACGCAGAACGCCAATGGCCCCTGTCCTCTCTTGGCTCTCGTAAATGCGCTGGTCCTTTCGACTCCACCGCGTCAACAGTCAAGCTTGTTGGAGGCCCTGAAGACAAGGGAGACCATCAGCCTTGGCTTGCTGTTGGACGCCGTGTTTGACGAGCTGATCACTGGTCAAAGAGGCACTGCCGCCCAGGAATTGCCTGACGTGGGTGATCTGTATGCTTTCCTACTCGCGCTGCACACCGGAATGAATGTCAACCCGCAGTTTGTCGCGACTGGGTCCGAGGATTTGATTGACCATGCCACGCCACAGGGAAAGTCCAACCCTGGCAGCTTTGAGCAAACCCGAGAGATGCGACTCTACAGCACCTTCAATGTTCCTTTGATCCACGGGTGGATGCCGCCTCCAGACTCGGTTGCTTATGCGGCTTTTGGCCGCTCCGCAAAGACTTACGAAGACGCGCAAAACATTCAGTTCCACGAGGAAGAGCTTGAGGCAAGGCTCTCGACTTCGGGCTTGTCGCCCCAGGAACAGAACCTGTACCAAGACTTGCAAGCAATCAAAGAGTTCCTACAGAGATACCCAACGCAGTTGACCGATTATGGCTTGAAGGTCATGAAGGACAGTTTGAAGCCTGGTCAATTTGCCATTCTTTTCCGCAACGACCACTTTTCCACCATCTACAAGGAGCCTCAGTCTCAGAAGGTGTTTTCTCTGGTCACTGACACGGGCTACTCCAGCCACGAGGAGATAGTGTGGGAGAGTCTGGTTGATGTCAGCGGTAGAGGCAGCGAGATGTTCTCTGGTGACTTCCGAGCAGTCAGCCACAACCAAGGGACGGGTCCAGAGCGGCCGATCCGAAGCCTTTTGGATGACGAGCCTCCTCGGCAGACCAGTGGCTTCCCCAACGGCGGAGGCATCACCTATCCCCAGGAAAACGGCACGGTCGGGGCCGGCACCGAACAGGAGGATGCCGACCTCGCACTGGCTCTGCAGCTTCAGGAAGAGGAAGACGATCGCCACCGGCGCGAGGCAGAGGAGCGCCGGCGGCGGGAGAACGAGCTCTCCCACAACTTCCTCTCCAACGAAGCGAGCTCCAACGCCGGCCGGCCCGGCCGCATCACCGACCCCATCCGCGGCTCAGACGTCCGGCCGCTCATTCCCCCGCGCCGCAACAACGTCCAGACCAACCGGCCGCGGGTCGACGGCGAAGAACCGCCGCCGCCGACGTACGAGCAGGCGGCCAGCTCCCCAGCATACGTGCCCGGACAGGGACAGGGCCTGCCGAACCCGCCGCAAGGAGGCGGTGGCGGCACGCCCGGCCATGGGCGTGGACAAAGCGCTTACGCGTCGACCAGCCAGGGTCAGAGCTATTTCATTGGCGGGAGGCCCAGTGGCCGCGGCAGGAGAACGAGCCAGCCGGCGCCGGCGGCTGGCAGCGCAGCAGCAGCAGCAGCGGGGCCCAGCACGCCCGCTGCTCCCCACGGCCGGAGGCATAGCGGACAGGGTGGCCCGGGTAAGGATGAGAAGTGTGTTGTCATGTAACTTTTTTTTTTTTTTTACCTTTCTCCGGACGGGCGGTCTTGTAGGTATGGGTGGTCTTGTTTGTTTTTTTCTCTTTCTCTCTCTCGGTCATCATTCAAGCACGATGCGGATTGCTCGACTTTTGGTGCAGATGAAGGCGACATGAGCGTTTGTTCGACTTGATTCGTCCGCTCCGCTCCTTTGGTGGAAGCTCTCTGAGCGGAAATGACTCTATGGCTATAACGGATTTTTTATCTTTTTTTTACGGATGGATGGATGGATGGTAGGTGGTTGATTGGATGGTGTAACGGATACCCGTGTTTATTTTTCAATTCTGACTTTTTACCGAGCTATTCAGTCTGTAGTAGCTCGACGGCTTTTTTCTCAATGGTCATTCGGCTTCAAATTCTCTCTCATGGAGTTCCCCTTGTGGCGTAGGTTCGGGCAGGGACGATAGACGGATGAGATGAGCGTTCTTTGTTGTGGGGCTTGAAGAGTGAGTGACATGGCGACCAGAGACCATACATGGTCCCACTCTGAAGGTGTCCCCAGCAGATGGTTGTACGTATACCACCCGGTTGCTCCACTCCGATTGCAAAAGCCAGAGCAAGCTAAACGCCTCTTAGTTTCAGACGAAGCAACTCTCACCGATTCATGGCAAAAAAGGAAAGATCAAAAATCTGAGACGTCGATAATCATTCATTTGGTATTCTTTCTGATCGCATACATGCTCCCCAGCCTCCTCGGCCTCAAAACGCTCGACAACAAGAAAAAAAAAAAGCACAACGGCACAAGCTCGCCCCTAATTCCTCCCGACGGTCCTCCGCTCTTTACGTAGTCGTCTTGGGCACGCCGGTGCAGCCGACGGCGATGCCCTGGATGAACAAGCCGCCCGCGACGGGGATGAAGCCAGCAACGGCCTTTGCGATCTCGCCCTCGATGCCGCAGCCGCCGGTGGTGGGGTTCGACGCGGCCTCGATGCTGACGATCAGGTCGTCGGGCTGCAGCTGGTCGTCGATGTAGGCGGTGACGCGCAGCTCGCTGGGGACGCGGTAACCCGTGGTGACGACGGAGCACTCGACCTGGTGCGCCACGTCGCTGGCGTCCTTGCACGCGGCCTCGCACGAGGTGGCGCTGACGGGACCGCAGGGCGACTTGGGGTCGCGCGCGGTGCCCTCCTGCCAGGTGAAGCCCGAGCACCCGCCGTAGACGTCGTACTTGTTGCGGTCGGCGATGTTGCGCAGCACCTCCCACAGCGACTGGATCAGGCCGTCGCGCATCTGGTTCTGCTTCAGGCCGGGGGTCTGGCCCCACGCCCCGTTCATCTTGATCTTGACCGTCAGGTCCGGGTCGCTGTCGTGCTGCGAGGTGCACGGGTTGTTGTCCGTGCCGACCGACTTGTCGGTGATGACGGACCGCTGGTTGCCCGACGTGTCGTAGAGGACTTGCCACGTCTGCGCGAAGAGGTCGAGGTTGCCGACGTCGATCATGTTGTCGCTGTAGCGGACGTCCATTTGGACCGCGGCCGACGCCTGCGAGACGAGGCCTGCGGCGGCGGCGAGGAGGATGGTGGAGGTGGAGGTCTTCATGGTGGTGGTGGTTGGTGGTTGGTCGGTGGAGGAGGGTGGAAAGGAAAGAGTGGCTGCGGAGTCTGCTTTGGCCAGAGGAGCATACCATCCGGCGTGGCGTGTACGGGCTTTATAGAGGTTTGGCCAGACTAACATGAATCTCTCCCAGCATGACGATCCGGCGTGAGGCCTGACAGGCACCTGTTTCTGGTGGAGAGGCGTTTCCCAGGCCAAGGCCTCGTATCGCTTGGCATCACGATACTATGCTCAGCGAAGACCCCGATTCGGCGTGTTTAATGGCGCGAGTTGAGTCAAGCAGTAAGATTAACTTAAGTTTGACCTGTGCGCATCCCGCGCGAATCCCCGCCGGATGGCATCCGGAGAGGCCCCCCGATCAACTGAATAAATAACTTTCGCTTACAGACGATGGTCCCTTGGAACGTCGGGGTCGGCTGCTTGGCGATGCGGACTTGGTGGTGGAGGATGGCGAAGAGAGTGTATCCTCCAGGGCGACGGTCGTTCGTCTAGCCCAGTTGGAGGCCCAGGCCAGCGAGTCATATTACACCGTGTAGTGGGGATTGTATGGGGAAGTTCACATTATCCGAAGCGGTCTATGACGCACATGGGCCTGCGGCCACGGCGAGCCTCAACTAATTTCGGCTAGGGCTGATGGGAGGCCCAAAACCTAGCGTCAATCTCTCAAACGTTCGGCGAGAGCCTCATCACTTGCCCCAGGTGCGACTGATTCGTTGATGGCCACAAGGAGCATCGGAGAGGCGGTGGAGCGCGAATCGAAGGACGACGGATGCACATTTGTCACGGTTCAAGAGACACTAAGCAACACTAACCCCACAACCACCGCTCCCGTCACCGCCCTCAGGCATCCCGTTTGGCGGCTTGTGCCGTCGTGGGTGAGGCTGGCCCCCCAGACTTTTAGCCCCTTGTTCTTGTTTCCACCATTTCCCCGGCCGGTGCCTATTTCTCAGGGACAGCATCTTGAGCTCTGGCGAAAAGTCCGGTTTCAGTCGATTTCTCCGGCGGGTTCCAGCGCAACGGCTCCCCCATGGCTGTGGCTTAGGGATTAACCTTAACACCTACCTTATCTGGGTCCTCGGTCAACGTGGTCGAGTGCACTGGTCTCCCCTGTTCCCTTGTTGCTCGCTGTCGAAGTTTCTCTCGACGACGTCTGACACGTCCGACTGCCCACGGTCGTGATGATAACTTTGCTAGAACCGAGACTTTCGGTGGCTTGACCGAAGAAGTCAGAGATAACGGGTCGGTCGGCATCTCGGTGGTCTCATCGTGTCCAGTGTCACGGGGACAGCGGCTGTCGCCGTCGGCTGGCCAGCGTTGTCATGTCTTCCTCGTCGTCGGGTCTGGTGCTCGGTCGTTCTCATTCGCGTAGACAAGACATGGTGTTCGGCGTGTCTGTTGAGAGCAAGGTGTTGTTGCGGCATGTACGAATCGGCATGCTGGCATTTGGACTGAGAGGCAGACAGTCCGGTCAGAATCGCATGGCATTTTCGATGCAATTCAGCGTCGGTCACGCTGTATGGCATAAGTGAGGGCTCCAAAGTCAAATAAATTACGTACAATGGCTAGCGCCGAATTTAACTTCGACTCCACGGTCTAGGCCAAATTCTCGCGACTCACTCTTTTGTGCGGGGTGACACTGTCAAACTGTTGCTTTTGTGCACCCGAGGCATATGTCAAGAGGATAAGCAAAAAAGACCTCGGCGCAGGCTTAGAGTACGGGGAATGTCTATACATTTTGGTCCGTGTGGGAACGTGCGGATACGGGGACGGTGGCGGGGGGATGTGTGTCGATTGCAGTGGCGTGGCCAGAGCCGGTGTTGGTGGAGGCCATGGTTTGGATTGTTTGATCTTGTTGTTCTGGGCTGTGGATATGGAAGTGGTTTTGGTGTTGAGTGGTTGATGCGGCGATTACGTCACCGAGCAACGAAGCTTAACTGCGAGCTTGTCGCAGTGCTTATCCCGCTTTCTCCCACGACACGCGGCCGCCTCGTTGGTTCGCGAAGGCGCAGCCCTGCTTGCGCGTGCAGCTCACGTCACAGCCACAACCACTCCCTCTAAAAACTCCGTCCGCCACCTTGTCCATCACCGCTCCACAGTCCACCATGGATTACCGCAGCGGCCCCGTCCAGGACTTCTATCACCCGCCGTCTCCAGGAGGACAAGAGGGAGAGCAAAGACCACCCCATGAAGAGACAGTACCACCGCCCGCACAAGACCTCGAGGCGGAGAAGCCGCCGCCGTACCCTCCTCGACCCCAACCCCATGAGCCGGAATATCCAGAGGAAAAGCCCCCGCAGTACCCTCCACGTCCAGAGGAGCAGACAGAACCACAGCCTGCAGAATACTACGAAGCGGAAAAGCCACCCCCATACCCGCCCCGTCCCGAGCACCAGCCAACAGCATACCAGCCGCCCCCTCCGCCCCGCCGGGCCCGCCAAGCCTTCGGCGACGACGACCCCTCCAACCCCATCCACTACACCCGTGACCCCCACAAGCTGATCGCCTACCTCATCCCCTTCCCCAAGCCCGTCCTGAAGGACACCCCGCCCGACCGGATCCCCGACCGCTTCATCGTCTACACCCCGCCGCCGCCGCCGCTGTCCAAGCCCGCCGACGGCGAGAAGGAGGACCGCATGCACAAGGTCCAGCGCAAGTGGCAGCAGGAAGTCCGCGAGGCCAAGACCAGCACCGCCAAGACGACGAGCTGGAAGGGCATCAAGAGCAGGGCCACCCGCGGCATCGACTGGGCCGTCAACCAGACCACCTCGTCGAACCTCGACTTCATCAACCGCCTCGGCGACGACCATGGCAGCAGCAAGCAGAAAGGACCCGCACCCACTCCCGGCCCCGCCACCGCCACTGCCCACGACGACGACGGCATCCCCGCCGAGACCACCACCACCACCGCACCACCGCCATCCCCAAAAAAGACCCTCGGCCTAACCGAAATGATCATCGTCTACCCGCCCGGCTCCTCAGCCGCGGGCAGCACCGCCGCCGACGTCGACCCCTCGGCCGCCATGCGCGCCGAGTTCGTCAGCAGCATGCTGCGCACCAAGACCAAGGCGCAGCGCGACGCGGTGCTGGCGACGGGCCTGCTGCCCGTGTCGTTCGCCGTCGACGTGCTGGCCACGGTCGTGTGGCCGTTTGGCGGGCTCGTCGAGATGGATGTTGTGTGGATGTACTCGTCGGTGCGGGGGGCCAAGATTGCGCGGTCGACGGCGAGGCGGCTGGATGCTTCTTCTCCCACGTCCGCGTCCGAGTCCGAGTCCGCGGCGAAGGGGGGTGGCGGCGGCGGCGGCGGCGACGGGGGGATGGGCGAGGAGCACGGAGGAACGAAGGGAGATGGTGATGGCAACGACGACAACGCAGAAGAAGAAAAAGAAGGCAAACTGGCCCTCACCTTCACCCCCTCGCGCCGCATCGACGTCCTGCGCCGCTACCTCGCCGCGCGCTGCCGCGAGCGCGACGCCAAGCTCTTCGCCAACAGCGGCGGCGGCCCGAGCCCGACGGAGACGGAAGTCCTGGAAGCCATCGGGTGGGCGCCCAGCCAGACGTCCGGCGAGCGGCGCAACTGGGAGGACGAGCAGTGGGAGGTGGCCGAGGTCAAGGAGGACTTCCGGTACGTCATGGCCAAGGGCGCGCGGGAGTGGGACAAGTGGTGCAAGGCGTTTGTGAAGGATCCGGAGAAGGCGGTGAAGAAGTAGGAATGGGGGATTTGTCTGCTCCGATCTTGCAGATTTTCGAGCGAGCGAGGGGTGTTGTAAATTCTGGATGTTCGGCTCGATGCGTTGTTGGATGTTGATTGTACGGCTGATGTTTTATGTTATGCGATTTAATGAGGAACGCCCTGTTAGATTCTGCTTTTACTTAATACCATGTCAAGATAGGCCGCTTTTCTGGGTTCTAATTTGATGCACAAACGTTCAAGGACCCCGATTGCAAGCACGCTGCTTCGATCATTGGTGAGCGAGATGGAACAGGATGATGAGATGATCAGCCCTTTCGTGCACAGCTCAGGTAAATGGCAGTCAAACGTAAGCGGAAGGATGATCCTGCTGTACCCGTCGTCCAACGTTACCCCAGAATCCTTCGCGGGGTCGAGTCGAATCCCATTGGACAAAGTCCTCCGTCCCCCGGAATCCCGTACAAACCTTTGAGGATTCTTCATGACCGCCGCATCCGTACGCCATGCCGTAGGGCTCGGGTATGCCGGCAAGGCGTATTCAAGCCTCGTATGTGTGTGTGTGCGTGCGTGCGTGAACGGACGGGGATCACCACTCTTTGCTTACCCGTCCGCTCCGCTCGGCGCGGATGCACGCGCGAACCACATCAATGATCCTTCACTGCTGCTCCTCCTTCAGCAGCGCAATGACGTCAATGCCGGAGCGGGGTTTTAAACGGGAGACAGTATATTAGGGTATTAAGTCAATGGAGTAGAAACTGCCTGCCCGGTGGCTCCTCCTCCTCACGATCTATTCAACCCAGCGAACTTTCCAGTCTGTCTCTCTTCCTCTCCTCTGAGTGAAAAAGAAAAAGAAAAGAAAAACCATGTCTCCTCCTCGCCTCACTTCCCTCCGGCTCCTCCTCCTCCTCCTCCTCCTCCAAGCCGTATCAATCTACACCAGCAGCAGCAGCAGCAGCAGCAGCAGCAGCGTCAGCATCTTCGCCCACGCCCAAACCCCGCCGAACAACAACACCAATCAAAAAATCCAATGGGGCCCCTGCGCCATCGACCCGTCGCCTTCGTTCCAGTGCGGCAACGTCACCGTCCCGCTCGACTGGACCGACAACGCGTCCGCGCCGCTGACCATCGAGCTGATCAAGTACGTGGCGTCGAAGGGGGAGAGGAATGGGAGCGGGAGTGGGAGTGGGAGTGGGAGCGCAAAGAGCATCCTGGTCAACTTTGGCGGGCCCGGGGCGAGCGGGCAGCAGCTGATGGTCACGCTGGGGCCGGTGTTGCAGGCGTATGTGAGAATGATTGTTCCTGTTCCTTCTTCCCATTTTCTTTTTCTTTTTTCTTCCTTTCCATCTTTTTTGGGGAGAAAGAAAGAAAAACTCTCCCCAGGGAAGATCGGACGGGATGATTGAATGGCGATCGGGTCGGGCTGGTTTGGATGACTGACTGGCTAGCTGGATTCTATGGCTAACTTGTATTTCCCTTTCGGGACGGCGTTGCAGCGTGACGGGCGGACACTACGACCTGATCAGCTTCGATCCTAGGTAAGCTATCAAACACCCTCCCCCCTCCCTCCCCCTTCCCCCCCCAAAAAAAAAAAAAGATGGAAGAAAGAAAAAAAGAAACAAAAAACCCTTAACGCAAAAACAGAGGCGCAGGCAAAACCATCCCCCTCTCCTGCCACAAGACGGCGGCGGCGCGCGTCAACTTCACGCTGCAGAACCCGTACGTCAACGGGCACGAGTCGGACACGGCGCTGGGGCGGCTGTGGGCGAGCGGGCAGAACATGGCGGCGGCGTGCGCGGACGCGGACGCGGACGCGGACGGCGGGGACGGCGGGAGGGAGGACGGCATCGGCGGGTTGCTGGGGTTCGCGTTTGGGGCGAGGGATTATGTGCGGGTTGCGGAGGTGTTGGGTGGGGCGGGTGGGGATGGGTTGGTGAGGTATTATGGTGAGTTTGGGGGGAGGGGGAGGGGGAGGGGGAGATGGAGGGGGGGGAATGGTTTGTTGTTGTTCGAGCTGTGTGTTATGTGGAGAGAGGGAGGGAGGGAGGGAGGATCCTGTGCTGATGACTGACTGACATGTTCACGCAGGTCTATCTGCCGGCACTGTTCTGGGCGCCACCATCGCCGCCATGTTTCCGGACAGGATCGACCGGATGGTGTTGGACGGGGTGTGGAACATCCACGAGTATTACCATTCCCAGTACGTTCCGTCCCGACCCTTTTTGCCGTCCCATCTCGGCAAGAAAAGCCAAAAAAAAAAGAAAAGGGAAAAAAAGAAAAGAAAAGAAAAAAAAAACTAACCACCTCCCCCCCGGCCACCCCTCCAACAGCGCCGTCGAAGGCTTCACCTCCACCGACGCCACCTTCACCGGCTTCCTCCACGCCTGCCTCGCCGCCGGTCCCTCCAACTGCGCGCTCGCAGCCGCAGCCCCACCCGCAACCAACGCCGCCGACCTCGAAGCCGCGACCTACGCCCTCATCGAGCGCGTCAAATACCACCCGATCCCGCACGCCGGCAAGCTCGTCGACTACACCTTCGTGCGCAACGTCGTCTTCCTCGGGCAGACGACGGTCGCGCAGTGGCCCGCGCTGGCCGCCTTCCTCGCCGCCCTCTTGTTCTCCACGCCGCAGAACGCGACGACGGCGCTGGACGCCGCTCTTCAAACGCTGTCGGCGGGCGAGGACCCCGCCTTCACCGAGAGCCGGTTCGGGATCCAGTGCGGGGACAAGCCGGGGCGGGCGGCGGCGCTGGCGGACGTGCTGGGCGTCGTCGAGGCCGTGTCGGCGCGGAGCCGGCTGGCGGGGGACAGGATCGCGTTCGACGTCGAGACGTGCGCGCAGTGGAGGATGGGGGCCAAGGAGCGGTACCTGGGCGATTTCGACGTGGCGACGCGGCAGCCCGTCTTGGTGATTGGGAACACGTATGACCCCGTGACGCCGCTGGTGTCGGCGAGGAATGCGAGTGCGAGTTTGAAGGGGTCGGTGCTGCTGGAGCACCATGGGTTTGGGGTATGTGTTGTCCCTCCCTCCCTCCCCCCACCCCCTATTTCTTTTTGGGGGGCGTGCTTGTTGATGCTGACGCTCGAGTAGCATTGCTCTCTTCAGCAGGTCTCGCGGTGTACTGCGAGGCTGACTACGGCGTACTACGAGAACGGGACGCTGCCGGAGCCGGGGACGGTCTGCGAAGTGGACCTTCCTCCGTTCTCGAACGTGACGTGGCAGGATGTGCTGCTCTGAAGCGTAGGCATACGGTCTTTGGTGATAGGCAACGTCTCTGGTAAGGCTTGAAAAAAGGGGATCGTTTCGGGGAAGTGGGAAGATACGCACGACAAGCGACTGAAGAGGTACCAGAATCAAGTCTGGATGATCCAAGTTATGAGTATGTCCGTGATAGAAGACTGGATATCCCCTTCACACCCCAGAAACGGCCGTGGACCTGTGGACCGGGCACCTAATCGACCAGACAAGACAACTGACAACGGTGAACCCTGGCAAAGCTTTGCTCCTCTCACTCCGAGATGAATGTGTGCACGGACGGATACGGTCTTCTGTCATTCTGTGCAAAGGCAGCACGAACAAACTCTCAGTGCAGCAGCTCGTGTATAGCGAGACCCAGATGAGTAGAGAGGGGAGAGGGCCAACGCTGCATCCCATTCCAAATGAGCAGAGAAGGGTTCCATTCTGTTGTGGTATGCCCAGACGCGAATAGTGCCAGTACATTTTGGGTGCGTATGTGTATTCCCGCGTGTGGTGTGAAAACTGCTACCAACTCAACTTGGCCCTCCAGGCGCAGCCATGCGCACTATGTTTTCCAAGTAAGGGTGTAGGCGCAAGCATCGCTTTTCGCTTTGCCGAATGTTCCTTGCGCGCGCATGTGGGGTGAAGCCATGGGATAGGTCCAGCCGATGGAGGCGAGGTCAGGGTTTGACGTTGCTGGTCCGACGGTACGCGCGTTCTAGGCCTTTTACACAGCGCACGAAGCTGTTTTCTTATCGACTGGCGCCGAAAAGAATTTCGTGTGGTAGCACCCACAGGGCAGAGTGTCAGTATCTGTCGGTCACGCACTGGCGCTGCCTGGATATTGTTCCCAGGTCAGAAGGTAGGAACCAACAAGCTGCAGTCTGACCACAGCGCATGTCATTTCTCACTCGCGCCGAAAAGCTATCATGGCTTCTTTCGCAGATGTTGGGTAGCCGCTCATGCACGAGTGTTCGTAACGCTCGGGTGGAAACCGGCTCCACGTTGTTGCCGGACGAGGATTTGTCGATGCAGGATAGGAAGGTAAGGAGAGACCCAACATCCATGTGGGGTGGCAAGTCGATAATGCGATGCAAGCGTCTGTGCCGCAAGCACGACATCAAGTGCCGAGGAAAGACGACGGTAGTTGCAAGGTCGGAAAAGCCGACCTAGAACAGTGAGCGAAAGTTGCGGCTCGAGGCGTTTCGGTGTTCTCTAATCGATGGCTTCTCACACTGCGGGCACAGAACCGGTCGGTAGACATCACAGTCGAAAAGGAAAGGTGGTTGGTTGACATCATATGCAGGGTGGCGTGCTTGCTTGGTTTCTTTTTCAGGGATGTTGATGAACGCGTCAGCACTGCAAGCGAGAGCTTCTTCTAGACGTTTGCCAGCATGTCCTGGAACAGCTTCTCTGCAGCTATAGTCCAGGATGACGGCTCCAGAACAGAACAGTGTTTGGTTGGAACGTCAGGCGAGACCCGCGGTAAAGCAAAGATGCGTTTCAAGCTGCCGCATTCAAGTAAGGTGCATCGTCGGCCCCACACAGCAGAGGGCATGTGCGGGCACTCAGGAGATTCACCGGGCCGGGGCGGCTTCTACTGTCCTGCACGGGCGCGCGTTTGAGGAAATATGCGCGCTCTCACTGGTGGAGCTGCGGCGGTTCAGAGAAGCGAGAGCTGGATACGTTTACGGGGTGGGACCAATCACCGTGGGTCCAATCTGTTTATGCCGAGTCGCGTAGGCCAGCTGTTAAACGTCCCGTGGATCCGCGCTGGGGAAAAGATGGAAAACGCAAATATCTCCGCGAAGAAAGGAGAGATTCGGATGCAGGAACCAAGCTCGCGCGGCAAACGACGCCGTGGCTCTGAGCGCTGCGTAAGCCCGTCACACAAGCATCGGGCAAGCATTCGCTGACGGGTCGCACGACTGGCTGGCTAAAAGGAACATCTTGATTCAAACCATGTTTCCAGCTTTTCTCCGTCGGAAGCGCTCAGTCGGGGAGCGGCTTGGCGGAGGGGTTTCATTTGGACGGGCCGACAGGCTGGTATAGACTGGGTGGAGTTGTTGCACATGCAACGAGCCAGCCAACTGGGGGTGATGTTAAGGTGCTGACGACGACTTTGGCTTGGCGGTGATCCGGGCTGCGGGGGAGCGGTGCCGGTAAGGGAGCTGCCAAGCTGTGCCCGACAGCCTAGCGCCTCATCCGGCCTGTTTTCCGAGCCTCGCTGTTTATCAGTAGCTGTTGGTCCAATCAGGCGCGTGGCGTTTCAATGCGGAGTTTCGGGGTTTGCAGGGCGTGCCGTGGCGGGTGATGATACAACGACGCTGCTGTGCCTGGTTCGCCAAGACGCCGTACAGGAAGCTTGAGGTTGCCGCAAGGATCGCACTGCTACAGCGACACCATGATGAGCTCCCGCCTGCCTCGAACAGAATGGCTGCTACACTTGGCGTTCTGCTTTGCCGCCGCTAACGTGAATCTGCTGGCAATTTGCGGAGACGATGCGTACGCGGCGAGCAATATCATCGCTTGGCACCGGATCTCTGGAGGGGTCCAACGGTGAGGCTGGTTGTTGTGGGCGTGCCGAACATGCGGGTGATCAGGCAGGGCGAGGTGCCGTGGTATAAAGCTGCTCGTCCAAGGCCTTTTTGTTGTGACACAACCATCCACTCATTCCCTACTCTTCACTGACCCAGCTCATTCGCCAACATGGTCAAGATCTCTGCCTCGCTCGTTTCCCTGGCCGTGAGCCTCTTCGCTGGCGGCGTTCTCGCCCACCCCGGCCACCATGGCACGACCGAGATGAAGTCTCGCGCGGCCTACATGGCCAACGCCAAGCGCACTTCGCTCTCGCACTGCGCCGACGTGCTCAAGGCGCGCGGTGCCATGGACAAGGTTGTCGAGCGCCGCCAGAACAAGCTCGAGCAGATCCGCGAGAAGCGTGGCATCAAGAAGAGGTCTCTGCTCAAGGCCCGCGACTTCGACGACGTCCTCAACACGGACCACCAGTCCAACCTCACCGGCATCACGCCGGAGTCCGACCCAGCCACCTTCTTCGGTGACATGCCGTCTTGCGTGCTGTCTCCCGAGGTGACCGAGGGCCCGTACTATGTCAGCGGCGAGACTGTCCGCAGCAACATGACCGAGGGCCAGGCTGGCGTGTGAGTTTAAACCCCTCAAGGGCTTGGTGGAATTGGGGCTAACGGTTTCAAGTGAGCTCTACGTCGACGTCATGGTGATGGACACGGAGACGTGCGAGCCGCTGGAGGGCGTGGCGCTCGACTTCTGGGCATGCAACTCGACGGGCGTCTACTCGGGCGTCGTGGCGGGCGGCAATGGCAACGAAGCCGATGAGACCAACCTTCAGAACAAGGCGCTCCGTGGCATCCAGTTCAGCGATGCGGATGGGTAAGCAAAACGACAGACTTTGGGACGATGAAGGACAGCACTGATGGTTGGGCGGTGTAGCGTGATTGACTTCATCACCCTCTTCCCCGGTCACTACACTGTAAGTCAGGCGGGATAGAGACTCGGTACGAGCTTGTTGCTGATGCACAGATCTAGGGACGCACCAACCACATCCACGGTAGAACACACCAGACGAATGAGCTACGAAAAGACGTACTGACAATGGTGTAGTCATGTCCCACCTCAGCGCGGAGCAGCTGGACAACGGCACCATCACGTCGGGGCAGATCTCGCACGTGGGGCAGCTCTTCTTCGACCAGGATCTGATCAGCCTCGTTTCGGCGGCGTCGCCGTACGTGGACAACACGCAGGAACATGTAGGATGAAGCCATCTCTTGGGGGTGGCAGCAGGCTAACAGCGGGTTGACAGATGCTCAACACCGAGGACAGCATCATGGAGCAGGAGTCGGCGACCAGCGACCCGGTGGTGTCGTACGTGCTTCTGGGCGACACCATCGAGGAGGGCATCTTCTCGTGGATCAGCTTCGGGGTCGACACGACCGTCAACAAGACGGTCAGCGCGGCGGCGTCGTGCTATGCCGAGGGCTGCGTGGCCAACGAGAGATCGGGCGGCCCCGGCGGACCTCCGCCCAACGGTACTTTCCCCTCGGGCTTCCCGACGCCGCCGGCCAGGAAGTAGAGCCGAAAGGTGAGCATGAGCTGATTCGGACTGCAGCGGCCTAAGCGCACACGGGTTCGAGCGAGCGACGTCGTCGGAGGCGGAAAGGGTCTGGCTGGGATGCGGCGAGAGTTGGGCTAGGGGAGACGGACTGGTGGAGGAGTAGTCAGACGTAGGTACAAAAATCTCAAGATTGATCAGTCTTGGCCGTGCGCATTCCCTCGATGATGATGAGATGCGGTGGAGAGGATGTCGGGACGAAGAGAGGCGGGCGGCTAAAGCGGGCGGGTGAAAGGGCGGCGAATCTGCGGGACGGGCAGGCAACAACGTCACCCGTCGTGCCTTCCCGCTTCCCGCTCGACGCTGCTCTTCGACTCTCTCTTTCTCCCTCAAGCGCCGGATGATCGACACGCCCAGCAGCCACCAGCCCACGCGGTCCGCGGAAAAACTGACACACGCATTTCGCCGATCACGATCACCAACAACGAATGCAGCACAATAACAGCACAATAACAGCTCAATAACAGCACAATCAATAGCCAGTATATTGCCCATCGCCTTCTACGCATGCCTGAAGCCTCTTTGTGTAGTTCTAGCACTGCTGGTTAACGAATTCTTGCGTGCATTTACCCCAACCCTCCTGCACCAGCCCCCAGGTCTCATCATCTGTCCAGTGAGGCCATTTCCGTATATGCTGCTTTGGTACCTGCCAGCAGTTCTTAATAGGGGCGAGATCCGGTAAATGAGGTGGGTTAAAGTAGTGTTTTAAGCCATGATCCTGCTTCTATGACTTAATAATAGAGGAACCCTTGCCTATGCCATGGCCGGAGTCCCGGTCCTCCTTAAGGACGAAGTCCTGCCTACTATCCTCTAGCCATAGCTTAACAATAGGCTCTAGAATGGCCTCCTTGTAAACGCGCATGTTCATCTTACCATTCGGCTAACCTGTTTCATATCGAATAAGGTTGCTTTTAAAGCCTATCCCGACAGCTGCCCAGCAATAAATGCGCTTAGTGTCCTCCTTATCTGGGGTCTCTTGGTGCTAAATGCATGATTAGTAGTATCTTTACCCGGGTTTTCGTATAACACGAGCTTTGCCAGAAGGACCCCAGCCGAAATAGACCTCATCTGACCAGCGAACGTGGTGCCAGTCCTCGTCATTAGGGTATTTTTTAAGCATATACTTAGCCTAGTTCTTACGGGCGTTGGCAATGCGGTCGCTATACCATCCCTTACGATAAGCTACGCATTTGTAGTACTCTATTATGCCCATCCATACGCGTAATGTCTCGCTAGAAACGTCTTGATTAAGACATTCGTTGGCCAGCTGGTCCCATGTCATCTATTTCGCCTAGTCATGCTCTTGTAGCATGGCCTTAACATGCCAGATGTCCTTCTGTGATAGCTTTGCTGCCTTGCCCCGGTGTTCTTCAATGCTGTGATGCGTGCGTGGGTGTTCATCTGCAAGAGCGCGATAGCCGGTGCTGGCGGAGGTGCCACAGAAGCGAAACGCTTCTGCTTTGCTGTGTTCACGGCCAGTGCGGGCCAGGTGCTCCCCATATTCGACTGCGCTGCGTATTCTGACCTTCTGAGGCGTATCCAGCTGTGGGAATTGAGGCTCCTGGGTTCGTTTGGGCATTGTGTGGTGGTTGGTGTTGTGGTGATCGCGGTGTTCGGCGAAATGCGTGTGTTAGTTTTTCCGCGGACCGCGTGCAGCCCCAAAGCCCGGAAAGCATTCAGGCAGAATGGCTAGCGGCCGAGTCTCGCAGTCTAAGCCGCATCTCTGGCCGAATCGGAGCCCTTCGGCGCCTGCTACCCCAGCGTCCGCGGATGAGCCGACCCCGCAGCCACCGTGCTACTCCACACTCGAGGCCCTGACCCAACCTCGTGCGTGCGGAGACATGCCCCCGATCCCGAATCATGGACCACTTACAAAAGCCGCATCAAGCGGCCCCTCTTCTGCGCCCTTTCCCCTGCACTTCTCCCAGCCATGTCGTTGCGGACGAGCATTGCAGGCGTAGCAGCCCTGGCTGCCCAAGCTCTCGCCGTCGAGCTCACCACCTTCGGCTTCCCAGACTGCGCCAATGGCCCACTGAAGGACAATCTAGTCTGTGATGGCTCTGCCTGTGCGTTTTGTATCCCTGTTCCCTAAATCCCAAGCTCACCCCAGCCTTCCCATGCAGCTCCCCGGGACCGGGCAGCCGCCCTCGTCAACGAGCTCACCCTGGAGGAGAAGTTCAACAACACCGGCAACACCAGCCCTGGCGTGCCCCGTCTCGGCATCCCTGCTTACCAGTGGTGGAACGAGGCTCTCCACGGCGTGGCTTTCACTCTGCCCGGCAAGCCAATGACCGATTCCGGCAACTTTTCCTACGCCACCTCTTTTCCCCAGCCCATCCTCATGGGCGCCGCCTTTGATGACGAGCTGATCTACGACGTAGCGAGCGTCATCAGCACCGAGGCGAGAGCCTTCAGCAACGGTGGCCGTTCTGGCTTGGACTACTGGGTGGGTTTCGCTACTTCTATGCTATCCGCTGGACTCATCGCCCTGACCGTTCCGTTTTGGCAGACTCCTAACATCAACCCGTACAAAGACCCAAGATGGGGTCGTGGACAAGGTGCGCTCTGATCCGCAGCATGACGTGACCTGACATTTGACCTCGTTACAGAAACCCCTGGAGAGGACCCCTTCCACCTCGCCAGCTATGTGCAAAATCTCATCCGCGGCCTCGAGGGCGATCAAGGTGATCCCTATAAGAAAATTGTAGCGACTTGCAAGCACTTCACTGGCTACGACATAGAAAACTGTAAGCCGAGAACAAAAAGCAATATGCTTCGTTGCCTAATTTGCCCAACTCCTAGGGAACGGCAACTTCAGATACCAGTTCGACGCCCAGATCAGCATGCAGGATATGGTCGAGTATTATATGCCCCCATTCCAGGCATGCGCCAGGGAGGCCAAGGTTGGAGCCTTCATGTGCTCCTACAACGCTGTCAATGGCGTGCCAACCTGCGCCGACCCCTGGCTCCTGCAGACTGTTCTTCGCGAGCATTGGGGCTGGGATCAGGAGGACCAGTGGGTTGTCGGTGACTGTGACGCCATACAAAACGTCTACCTTCCGCACGAGTGGGCTGCTACTCGTGAGCAGGCCGTCGCCGACACCCTCAAGGCTGGAACCGGTAGGATTCCAAACTTTGCACCGCCTTTTCGTCTCTGATCTTCCTTTTATAGATCTCAACTGCGGCACTTACTACCCAAAATACCTGCCTGGTGCCTATGAGCAAGGCTTGATCAACGACACTGATCTGAACAGAGCACTCACGCGGTAAGACACTGGCTTATTCTTTACCAGTAAACGCATGCCGTCTGACAGACCTTGAAGAACGTACGCATCCCTCGTCAAACTCGGATACTTTGACAGCGCCGAAGACCAGCCTTACCGCCAGATCGGTTGGTCCGACGTCAACACCCAGCACGCTCAGGAGCTGGCACTCAAGGCCGCGCGGGAAGGCATCGTTCTGCTCAAGAACGACGGCCTGCTCCCCCTGTCCCTCGACGCCATCTCTTCCATCGCGCTGATCGGCTCCTGGGCCAACGCCACCGAGCAGATGCAAGGCAACTACTACGGCATCCCCCCCTACCTGCACTCGCCCTTGTACGCCGCCCAGCAGCTCGGCGTCACGGTCAACTACGCCGAGGGCACGAGCCAGGACAACCCCACGACGGACGACTGGGGCGCCGAGTACGATGCGGCTGCCAAGTCCGACGTCATCATCGTCGTCGGCGGCATCGACAACGACGTCGAGAGCGAAGGGCTGGACCGGCTCGCGCTGGCGTGGTCCGGCCCGCAGCTCGACATGATCACCCGGCTCGCCTCGTACGGCAAACCGGTCGTAGTCGTGCAGATGGGCGCCGGCCAGCTCGACTCGACGCCGCTCGTCGCCAACGCCAACATCTCGGCCCTGCTCTGGGCCGGCTACCCGGGCCAGGACGGCGGCGTCGCCCTCTTCGACGTCATCACCGGCGTCGCGCCGCCCGCCGGCCGCCTGCCCATCACCCAATACCCGGCGCGCTACACGTCCCAGATCCCCATGACGGACATGTCCCTGCGGCCGTCGGCCTCGAGCCCCGGCCGCACGTACAAGTGGTACAACGGCACCGCCGTCTTCCCCTTCGGCTTCGGCCTGCACTACACCAACTTCTCCGCCGAGGTGACGGCCGGCCCGGACGGCCAATCTTTCGCCATCGCCGACCTGATCGCGTCCTGCAGCAGCAACCAAACCACCACGACCCCCAAACTCGACCTCTGCCCCTTCACCGCCCTCTCCGTCGCCATCACAAACACCGGGCCCCTCCCCTCCTCCGACTTCGTCGCCCTCGCCTTCCTCACCGGCTCCTTCGGCCCCGCGCCCCACCCGCGCGCCTCCCTCGTCGCGTACCAGCGCCTGCACGACGTCGCTCTCAACGCCACCGCGCCTTCGGTCGCGACGCTCAACCTCACGCTCGGCAGCCTGGCGCGCGTCGACGAGAGCGGCGACAAGGTGCTGTATCCGGGGGATTACGCGGTCGTGGTGGATGTGCCGGAGGCGCCGCTGGCGCGGGTGGAGTTTAGGTTGACGGGGGAGGAAGAAGGGGTCGTGATTGAAAGGTGGCCGAGGTTGGATGAGGGGAGTAGGGTGGGGGAGGGGGTGGTGAATGTGCCGGAGGGGTATTATGAGGGGGGGTTTGGGAGTAGGAATGGAGGGGATGACGGGGTGGGGCAAGGGCAGGAGGTCCTCGGGGTGGGTTCGTGAGCGTGGAGTACGGCACTGGCTACCTAGTGGATGGAATGTGGGGGGTGGTGGAAAATGTTTAATGAGCGGGGTTTTTGTGGCCTAGAAGAGGGGGGGAGAGAAAAGTGTTGATTCCGCCCCGAGATAATCGAAAGTACTTCGAGCGTCTGAACCAAATTCAGAAGAAATCTTTGAACCTGTGAGGATTATCTGGCGGATAGTCGGGCGAGAAGGGGGTGTGTTTGAATTTGTTGTGCCATTTTCTTTTGTGTTGCTGGGAGAGATGTCGTCGGTGGACTCCTAAGCAAGACGCGTGGTGATAGCAGCTCTTTCTAAATGACGGCTGCGAAGGAAAGGTGTGGCTGAAATGTGCGCAGGGACATGGGGCGTTCGAAGATATCGGGATGGGTTGTTTGCGTATAGTGAGGTGTGACGCGTGGTCCTGTTATAGTTTGTTTGGGGTGCTGTGTCGACTTGGTGCGCTGGAAGTGGTGGAAAGAGTTCCCTGGTTGGTAAAGGGATTGGCGCTGTGTGTTTTGATGAGAGTAATGGAGTTGGCTGTACGCAGTCAAAGTCACCATCTGGGGATATTTTGTGGACTGTAGGCTTCGTGAAACGCCCTCCGAACATTTGACTTGACCGCGCATATTACGCGATAGAAGGAGCATTCATCGCCCCCTATAGAACGAAAGCAAGAGAAAGGAATAAGAACGAACCCCTGCAGCAGGTGACAGAAGATTCGAGCCGTCTAGGCCCCGCCAATGACACCACATTCTTCCCACCACAACTCTTTCCAGCTACGTGCGAAGCCTCCGAGATCCTAAGCCAGTCCACCAACACCGTAGATGACATTTACTACCAAAGGGGGAGAGGATACGTTGACGTCTGCAAGGGCAACAGCGATTCCAGTATCTATCCTTCATGCCGTACCGCTTGCATGCTGCGTAGTTGAATCCAACACACGGGCGCGTTTATCGGCGTTTAAGTCTTCAATGTATGCACGTCCGGGCATTAGATTCCGCTACACACCAGGATCGCAATCGAGATGTCTCAGACGACGGTCGCTCGAAGCACTCAGACTACGTACCCTTGTCTGAACCCTTGAACAGGTCTTCCCCCGCGCTTCGGCCCTACCGACATGTTGATCCAGCGCCGTGGCACAGGTAGTAGAGGGCTCTTATCTCATGTCTCGACTCGTCGGCGGCTACGAGCAGTTGACCTTTTGTGGTAACGATACCAGCAATATTCTTTCACGAGACGAAAGCACTCTGTGATTTTTTTTTTTAAAAAAAAAAGAGAACCAGTAAATTGGCCTCCTCTAACATACACACAACAGAAGCAAAGTGTAATATCTCCGTAAGAGGGACGTGCATTGTGGGGGGAGGGCATCTCGATTATTGTGTGTCACCTGCGTGCTGTTGTTGTGCCCCCTCCCTTCTCCCCTCTTCCTCTTCCTCATACCGGCCAAGAAGGGCTTGCCGCTGCCGCGGGCGCGGGCGCGGGAGAGGAGGCGCGGGAGGCCACGCGCAGCGCACGTCATAAGCACCTCACAAGTGGGCAGGAACGCACGTGGACAAGGGGGAGAAGAAGAAGAAGAAGAAAAAAAAAAAAAAAAAAAAGCAAAACTGCACCCGGCGGCAGCAGCAGCAGCAGCGTTGTGACAGATATTATGCGCGAAGATCGCAGCCTCTTCCAAGCGTCCCTCTCCTCTTCTTCTTCTTCTTCCTCCTCGTGCCCATCTTCTTTTTCGGCGCCGATATTGACCGGTGAGGAGAAGACGGTCGTGAAGAGTACCTACGTGTGTACAAGGGGGGGGGGGGGGGGGGGGGGGGG